GAAGAGAAAATGACATCACTTGACAAGAATGAGACATGAGTACTTGTGGACAAGCCTAAAGATCAACGTGTAGTTGGTTGCAAGTGGGTGTTCAAACAAAAGGAAGGCATTGTCGGGTTTGAAAAGCCGCGGTGCAAGGGAAGATTGGTGGCTAAGGGCTTAATACAAAGAGAAGGGGTCGAATGCAATGAGATCTACTCCCCCTACTGAAGCACACATCAATTCGGGTTTTGCTGGCTTCGATAAATCAACATGATTTGGAGCTTGAGCAAATGAATGTAAAGACCGCGTTTCTTCATGGAAATCTTGATGAGAGAATCTAATGGCTCAACCGGAAGGTTTTGTCAAGGTTAGAAATGAAGATAAGGTGTGACTTCTTAGGAAATCTCTCTACGGCTTGAAGCAATCTTAAAGGCAATGGTATTTGAGGTTTGACGAGTTCATGATACGAAATGGGTTCTCGTGGAGCAATTTTGATAGAGTTGCTTGTATGTCAAGTGGGTTGATGATAGTGGAATATTCTTGTTGCTATATGTTGACGACATGTTGATAGCGTGGAAGAACAAGAACGAAATTCACAACGTGAAACGGCTTTTGCGAAGCGAGTTTGAGATGAAAGACATGGGATCAGCCAAGAAATTTTGGAGATTGAAATCACACGAGATTGAAGACGAAAGTAACTATTCGTGTCTCAAGATGGTTATCTTCAGAAGGTGGTGGCCAAGTTTGGGATGTCGGAGGCAAAGGCGATTCAAACACCTTTGGCGACAAACTTTCCGTGAGTATGTCGCTGAAGACCGAGGAGGGTCTAGCGAGCATGGAGCGGATTTTCTTATGCGAATGCAGTTGGGAGTCTCATGTATGCCATGGTGTGCACACGACCAAATTTAGCGTACACGGCTAGCCTTGTGAGCCGATTTTTGGCCAATCCGGGTAGAGAATATTGGGAGGCAACGAAGTGGATCCTTCGATTCGTTAAAGGAACTTCGGATGTTGGTTTACTCTATCGACGGGCAAATGAAGGTGAGGCGAAGTCAAAAGTATATGTTGATGCCAACTTTGTGGGTGACTTGAACAAGATGCGGTCTTTGATCATATGTGTGTTCACCTTGTTTGATTATGCGGTAAGTTGGAAGGCGCAATTACAACCGGTAGTTGAACTTTCTACGACGGAGGCCGAGTACATTGCCACCACGGAAGGCGTGAAGTAATCTCTTTGACTGAAGGGATTGATTAGTGAGCTCGGAATCATGCAAAATCAGATGAAGTTATTTTGTGATAATCAAAGCGCTGTACACTTGACCAAGAACCAAATGTTCCATGAGAGTACAAATCACATCAATGTAAAGCTACACTTCATTCGGGATGTGGTCGCAAAGGGGTCCGTGGTTGTTGAGAAGTGCACACGGACAAGAATCCGACAAATATGGCTACAAAGGCGGTATGGGGATCAAGTTTCGGCATTGTTGCGACTTGATCAACGTTGCGAAGTTGAGCAACTAGAGGAGGATGTGGAGAGTGGTTCTACAGTGGTTCTCGGTGGTAAAGTGGGTTGTTGTTCGTTCCCAGTTCTCCTTAAAGCCAGTTTTATTTCCTTAATATTGTGTATATAAAGCAAAAGTGTTGTTGTTGTTTATTATGTCAAGTGAAAAACAAATAGAGAGCAAAAGTGGGTGAGAGAAAATAGCCTAGAACAACTAAGGAAGAAAAATCCTTGAGAGAAAAAAAAAGTTGTGGTAGCTTGTAATCTTTGTAATCTTGGATTATTATTTGTTAGTGGAACCATTCTCCAAGTAGGAAGTGGTACATTTTCGTATGAACCTAGTAAAATCTTGTTGTCTCATTCTTTTGTTTTTCCATCGATCATATTGTTTGGATTGGAGCCACGGAGGCATATATATATATTGTGTTGTACTAGTATATTCCGTATTTTGCAGGTATCCGACGCCGAACCGATTGTAACACTAGGGTTTAGAGAGAAACTCACTCGAAGATAGAAACGTAAACTCTGAAGATGAGAGATATCAACAATGGTTCTATCCTCCCTTGTATAGCTATCACCAAAAAGTACAAGGAGTTAAGATCTTATCCCCACCATACATCTCATTCTTACTGGATGTATGACGTGGCTGATAACCCTAACAGCACACTGATCGCTGACGTGGCGCTCCCAACTAACACAATAACTAACACACTAAATCCTTACCTACAAGCACGCGGATTGCTAACGTGACACTGTCAACTAACACATCCACTCTGTACCTACCAAGTGCACGGATCGTTGACGTGTCAACTATGACTAATGCACACTAAAGTATCTACATCAATATTTAAAGTAACCTCTACTTTAATTCTAACTAACTAAAGATAGTTACACCCATCATACAAATTTTATACATTAAATTTGTATTTACTTTGATAGATAGCCCTCATTAAATACGTAAATTATAATTTCAATAATAATAAAAAACTTTACAAACTTCTTTTTAATATATATTATATGATGCAAGTTAATTTGGGCCTATTTTTTGCAAGTCTATGTTTGAAAAACAATTCAAAAATTTAGAAAATTGAAATTTAAATCAAATCCAAATAAATAATTTTTAAAAAAAATACCATATTTTAGTTGAGCAACAATCAATTGTAAATTAAATCTTCACATAGAAATAAAATCATATATGTGCATAATATTAATGTTAATTTAATTTAATATTTGTAATGATACTTGTTTAATTTTAAATTTTTTTTGTTTTTCTTCGAAGAAAAAAACATACAATAATTAAAAAGCCCATCTTCCATATAAGCAATTAATTGTCAAAAATTTCGAAATAACGTGAAAATCTTCAAACATAATACATAGTATTTGACTTTTTTTCATAAATCACATTTTTTAAAAATTTTTTCATTTTATATATTTTAATTAAATCAATTAAAAAATATGAAATATAAAAAACTAGATTTATTGCACATAGATGATTGATGATAATAATTTTCAACATGAATAGCACAACACATGTTGCAATCAATCTTACTTTTATCACGGTAAACAATTCATCAATTGATCACAAATTTGATAACTAGTATAGGCAAATACTATATTTATTCCATACTATATTTAAAGCAAATATAAATCAGATATAAGTCTACAAAATTAGATAATTACCTGAATCACATTTTGTTTAGGGAGCGGTTAGTTATACCTCAGTTTGTGTTAATTATACCTCACCTTAGGCCAATGTGCACTACTTCTTACCTTTTCTCCGTGCCGCGAAGAATATATCACGGAGCTCTAGTAAACATAGGAATACCTCTAAGCAATCATAGAGCTCTATTCAGTGGGGTGACCAATCATAGAGCAATTAAGTAGCCTGAGGGGTAATTAACCCAAACTGAGGTATAACTAGCCCCTTATTTTATTTATTATATATTTAGATTTTTTTTGCAAATTCATGTGCAAATTAGTAAATTTTATCCTAAGATTTTATCATAGATTTTGACAATGTCATGGTGGATTTTCGGATACATTTATCAATTTCAAAATATAGTAGACAAATGTTATGATCTTTGTTTTTTTTTTTAAAATTTAAATTAAAAAGTGAAAGAAATGTGTACTTTAAAATTTGTTGTATCAAAAAGTACTTGATCTATGATTGATGATATCTTGGTTATTTAAAATTTATTATTAGCTTTCTCGATAAGAAATGATGTTTTTTTTTTGGAGTAATACATATGTATATTGTTATATCTTCAATCAAAGAAATTGATACTGGATATTTGATTTTGAAAGTATCAGATAATATTGCTTTTTAGTTAGAATATATTTATTAGTAATATGATATGCAATGTATCTAACAAATTTTGTTGGATTTTATGATCATATGTCTTACATTACAATACATATTTTGGAAAAAAATTTAATGAAATGAATTGGTTTTTTGCTGTAAAAATAATATTGATTTACTATTTGCTCATCTATAGTTTAATGTGAACTATGTGTTATAGTACAGTATATAAATTAAAGTCTGAATCTCTAGTCTGAATCATGAATAGTACTTTCATGGATATAAGACCATCCGAAAAATAATAATTATTTCAAATACATTACGTTGTATTTTCTTCGGCTTTATTGGCTACTTGATGTAAAAAATATAAAAACTTGCAACATAATAATTTCATAACTTAGATAGTCTTTTCCTTTCAAGTATGATCTGCAGTATACTCCGCAGTTTTCAAGATGGACCGAGATGTATTCAAGAAGCTTTGTAAGAGAATTTAACTATGTTTTGATATGAACATTCCAGTAATAATCATCATTTTTAGAGATTAAGAGCACAAAATTCATGCAGCTATTTTCATTCAATGATACCCATGAATGCCCATCTATCATCAAACTTTGTTAAGAATCCTTCAGTCCTGGATGCAAGAGTGGTTGGCGATACAAACATAAATCGTGAACGACACCTATGCAAATCCAGAATAAATAAATAAAGAGGTTTGATTACTGCCGTATCCCAACCTGTTTCAAAACTTGATGGGCTTACCCTAGCGAATGGGATTTTTGTATGGACTGAGTATGTTTTCCATACCGTAAAGTGAATTCGATCCATGGATCAAATTCATGTACCTTTTTAAGGAGTTTTTTAATAAGAATAACTTATATTGTGCATGTCAAGCATAAGGATCAGACCTTTTCTTGCGCATAAAGTCATGTGAAGTTTCTCTTTGAAGATTTTTTGTCGGACCGTATCATACACCTAACGTCATCGACTGGACCTCGTTTGCATTAGCAAGTGTCACCCAAATCAAATCCCTTAAAATGCGAAGGTTAAGCTGAGCAAGGAAAACAACCTGCACCATCGCTCTACACTATATATGATCAAAAGTGGATGTAGGATAGGTGAAGTCTTTGGGCACGCTTTGAATTTAGCAAGAGCAACAAGTTTCATCACCTCCTACCGCATGTGACTAACATAAAAATAAAGAAAGCAGATATATTCAAATCTGCCAAGTGTTGCAAACTGCTCAGGGAAGCCAAAGGATTTGGCAAGTATCAAGAGGTTTTCTCGACTTCATGAGGGTGGTCTTTCCATTCCGATTGTTATTTTACTGTCCCCTCTTCCCTTTCATAGTACTGAGAAGCCTCCTTAAACCCTAAACCACAGTACTCTGCAGCAAAGTTGCTGAATGTTGGCGCTTTTTTAGTAGCAGGAAATCTCACAGTGACTGACGATCTTCGACGCTCAGTCGTCGAAATTGTCGCCTGTGGATCGGAGCAGGAGGTGGCAGAGGGTTTTCCTTTCGACCAGACTGGTTGTTACCGGGCCATCGGTGAGTGTTGTGACCCTTGAATTGGGAGGAATGCGCATATTTGGTTCTGAATCGATGAGGTTTCTACAATCACTGGTTCTTCAATTGCTTTAAACGGACCCTCCAGCTGATCGGAATCTCAAAATGCAAGTTCTTAAGAAGTCTCTTTTCGAATGTCCGAGAGAATTTGTCACAATTGTAGGAGATGGAGTACGTATGTCAGAAACTACGCCTTCAGGTGACGAATGCCCAGTCTTCCACTGTTAGGACGATCACAGGCAGTAGGAGGTTTTGCGCCTCATGCTCTAACGAAATCAGTCCTACTAAATTCAAAGCATGGTATAGGATGCTACAGGCGTACCGTCCTTTGGCTTTCCAATATTAAGCAGTTCTTAATCTGTCCAACATTCAAGGTTTTATACAGTTTTACGGCAGGATGGATAGGGACTGATTGTGGGTTGTGAAGTTTGAACTCTTACATGGGAGTCTCACAGAAGAGGTTTTCCTCGGATTTGGCCTAGAGGGCACTTTGACCGTATCTGCCCTGAGTTTCAGATTGATACGCAAAACGTTTCGTGTGTTTCATTTTGATGGGATGTTTTATGTGGATCTCTGACCATGCAAATGGAGTGGAGTAAGTCCGCCTACACTGTGAAGATGTTTTACGCTTCGGATAGACTTAGATGGTCGGGCTTAGACAGCGCTGTTTCAAGAGTTGCATTACTAGGAAGCACTAACTGTTAATTTTCATTCTTGGCTTTGTTTTTCATGCAGCGAGTAGGTGTGTTTTAAGTTGCTCTGAGTTACACGCCAATTCGACACCTTATGAGAAGTAGAACTTAGTCATCATGGGGAAGAGAACAATTGAGGAGTCTCCGGGGACGGAGAGGACATCAAAGAAGCATGCGACGAGTTCTGACTTTCCTTCGAAGGAGAAGTCAAGCGCCAAAGCAATTAAGGGAGACAAGCCGAGTACACATACTGGAAAGCCTGTAAACTTTGATGCCAATCAGGACGAGGCAGATTTTCCTCGAGGTTTGTGCTGTACTCCGGTTTCTTTTGAGATAATCCACTACCTAGATTTGAGAATGGTCATGGAATACACGCACATGACCAGAGTATTTTGTGGGCTTTAGGGAGTGAGTATGTGCAGATGGAGGTTCATGGGATTACTGCAAAGTGATACTCTTTTCGTGACCTTTGTTTGAATATCGGAAAGTAGGGGGAAATTAACATGTGAAGGATGTCAATTGGATTGTTATAATTGCCTGTTCGAAGATCCCATCTATCGACGTTCGGAATAGGGACCATGGTCTTGTCTGATGGTCTGCTACTTTTGTAACAGGCGGCGCTAGTGCCTTGACGCCAGCAGAACTTAGGGAGATACGTTCACAAGCCGAAGCAGAGTTTGACTCAGAGATTGGGAAGTCCACAAGAAAGGTTAAGCAAGGGAAACGAAAAAGTAAAACTGAGAATGCTGAGGATGAAGATGAAGGGTCTCTATTTGGGGCCGGGATCACTGGAACGGTCCTAAAGTCGGCAGAAATCTTGCGACACAAGGTAAGCGTTTTTGCCAATCTCACAGGACCCATGTCTTCATTCGTCATTAACCCTTTCGAATTAGAGAACGTGGTTCATGACATTTTCTCTCGCCTGTTCTGGGTTGATACGATGACAAAATGAATTCATCACCTTTGCAGTCGAGCTTCTTTGAAGAGCTTCAATATATGCCTTGTGCATGGTTGGTATCGACATTTGTCTAATGCTTGTTATGGTGCTCCTGACTTATCTCTGTGGCAACAGATTCTCTGTGTCGGAATGAAAATATGGGGAGCAGTTGCTGAAGTCAATAACAGAGATCTAGTCATATGTCTCCCTGGAGGATTAAGAGGCTTTGTCCAAGCCGAGGAGGCATCTGATGTGATAGGAGAGATTTTGAAAAGTGGGAGGGTCAAGAAGGCCGAGTTGAGAAAGAAAAGCAGAATGAAAGAAGCTGGTGTGCAACCTCATAAAGAGAGTGCTGAACAGGTTAGTGGAGAAATGTGGTTTTGTCAATGCTACACGGATTATGTAGACCATGAGTATAAAGATCACGAGTTTATTCATTGGCCTAACACCCTGGGGATATTGCAAAGTCGTCCTTGTGATACCGCGCCTCCAAAGTCAAATACACACATGTGGAGCCGTGGTAGTACTTCCCAACGAGATGATTTTACCATGCTATTAATTGTGCGCTCAAATATCGCCTTTTTCAGAGTGACGAAGATGCTTCCGACGGTGAAAATGACGAGTTTACTTTGAAGGGTATCTTTTCAGTTGGGCAGCTAGTAGCATGCACTGTGAAGAGCCTCGAGAGTGTCACATCAAAGAAGGAGAAAGGGAAGAACAATAAGCGCATAGGGTTATCTCTTCGGCTGAGCCATCTTCACGAGGGAATCTCAGTCGATAACATGCGGGAAGGATATGTGAGAAATTTCTTTGGCATCACAGTGATGTATTGGAGGATTGCTAATTTTAATGATCGTAGCCTAGATATTATGTTTGTGTGATTTAGACAATTGATTATGTCCGTCCATTGTTTTCTTTTCAATCACACTGATATGTGATTCAACTTGGGTATGTTATGGTAACATCAACACTTTATGTCGTCGGTGCATATTTTGTAATCAAGTATGTGTTTGCATAGTTCACTGCATGGGTTTCTGAATCCTGTCTGCAGTCAAGGTATTCTACTCCCCCATTATCAGGGAGGTTTCCCGTTTATGTGGGATTTACGGAGGTTCACATTATTTTTCATATGACTGTCTCCGCTTCAGACCGTGGATGCCTCCCCCCCAAAGCAGTGACATCATCGACTGTTACTCATGGTTTATACTCATTTGACGCATTGTGCAGGCAATAACTGCTTGTGTGAGCAGTATTGAAGACCATGGCTACCTGCTCAGTCTGGGAGTGACAGGCCTATCGGGGTTTCTACTTCATCGAAGTTGTAAGCATGCGATCACCTTCTTCAGTTAAATGCATTTTAGTGGTACTATACACAATTTGCTTGATAGTACTGTGAGGAATATATTGTTTTAACTTCATGTGCGGAAGCATAACGAATGTGGGTATATTTTAATATTCTATTGTGTATATGTTCCAGCTGTTGGTCAAAACGACTTCAAATTAAAGAAAGGACAGCTTGTTACTGGTGTTGTCGCATCAGTCGACAAGAAGCGGGGCACCGTGAATCTCATCGTCGATCAAAAGGCCGTGGCAGCAGCCGTGGTAATGCAACTGACTAAATATTATTGGATTTATCAGCCATCATTTGTTCTTGAATGTAGCTTGTTCTGGTTGTAACACCCATTATATATTTATGCATAGACCCGCTCTTGGTTACTCTGGATTGTCTTGACAATGCCCACGCTTGCTTTTCTTCTTCCGTCTGAAGTAGTCTATCTCGAGCCCTTGCCATCTTTTTTTTTAATGTCACTGCACCTGAATTTGCTCTGGTCGAAAGCCCCTGTTCCCGTGCCTCCCGGCTCTGTACTATTTCGTCCCCTTACGTGTAACGCCCGTGTGGTTGACTACGTGTTCTTGATTGTCCGGATTTATAATTTGTCGTTGACCACCATACTTAGACTCCAGTTTATGTGTTTTTATCAGATTAATCTGGATCAGATAACCACTATGATTACTGAGATTGTGTGTCCTATTGTCGTCGGGTGACAGTATAGTCTACACCTATTTGTCCTCTCTTTAGCTACCCCTACCTGCCAAAATTTTAAAAAATTAACTACTTTCTATCTTTACTGTTGATCCTTTTCAAATACACATTGTCAGTGTCCACGAAGACCCCTCAGTCTGTTTGGCATTCACTTAGTAGTCAACCAGGATCTCTGTTTCTTAAATTTTTGAACTACACTTAAGTCACTCGATCCGATTTATTGATGTACTATCGCCTTTTTGTACTTTTCTCCAATTATTTTCAGTTTTTCCAAATTAGGCGAGAAATGCTCAATGTATCGGTTGTAGAATGGCCGCACTTGTGAGTGATCATTCATAGGGTTGGATTACAGGTACTTGAACAAGAAGGATTTTCAGTTGAACAGCTTATCCCTGGTTCTTTGGTGAATGCCAAAGTGCGAGCTGTGCTCCGGGATGGCCTTCTTGTGTCCTTTTTGACGTACATGAATGGCACTGTGAGTACTTTCTAATCCTCTAAACATTTTGGCTTTCATATTTATTTTGTAATTCCTTGAGTAACAATTTCCTGAACTGCTTTGATGGTTTAATTTTATCTTCAATGTCGTTTGTCATTTTTACTTAATTTTTACTTATTTGTCAAGTGGTCTCCCATCTCTGCCTGTGTAAACCTTCCCATCGTTTGTACCCAGCACCTTATTCATTCCTTTCTTTTGAGCGTCGTCTTCTGTTTGACATTCTTGTAGTTTTGCAACAACAATAATCGATGTGATTATTGTTGTTTCAAAACTTTATGTTTCAAAAATTAATTGTTTGTTGTTTTTACAACGATGCTATCTGCACGCGCAAATATGCAATCTACCCTAAAATCTTCCTCTTTCTTTGGGCCATAGATCGATTGTCCGCTGTTCGTCCCCACCATTTCATGTACTCGTTTTGTGCAGTTTTCTGACGTATTAATTTTTCCATACAACTTAAGCATATCTAAGACATTCTTGAGACGTTGTCGCGTAAACATTCAAATTTTTAAGTGACCTTCCATGGTTGCTTCTTCGCCGTTGACTTTTGTTATTCTTTTCAGCTTCTGATGGGCTTTTATTGGTTGTCATTGAAAGGTGAATATGTTTCACTTAGATGTCCCGTTAGTGGGGCCGAAGTGGGCAGAAACCTATGCAGTGAATCACAAGGTGAGACCCTAAAGATAACGTGGTGAAGTTTGAATGGAATTTCATTGTGTAGGATTTCTTTTCCATAAATAACTCCTGACATGTGTAATGTTTCACATTCTCATGTATCTACCTTCTCAGCTGAAGGCGAGGATTCTCTACGTAGATCCTGTTACGAAAATGGTGGGATTGACGCTCAATTTGGATCTTGTCCACAACCGGGTCCCATCTTGGGTATATCTCTGATGTTATCTTGATATATCTATTCGATGATTTTGGTTTTTTGTGTCATGTTGTTGGCCTCGACGTGATATCAGCAGTTGTGGTCAGCAAGATCGATATGTCGTCTTTGCACGTCTGATTTCATAATTGAGATGTAGGCGGTGAAATCTGGGGATATTTTCAACAACGCCTTGGTACGGCGTGTAGATGCCACCATTGGTCTCCTTCTCGAACTTCCATCGAAGCCCAACTCATCAGCTGCCTACGTCCATGTAAGTTCATTCTGTTGTCAAGAAACTGCTGTGGCGAGAAAATCCCTGTCGTATCAACCCATTTCAGTATCAGGGAAATTGCATCTTTGCTTAAATCGTTATCGACCGTGTTCGGGAGTAGGCCTCAGGAAAGAGTATTACCTTCATTACAGATGTAACACGGATTTTCCATTTCAGACATTGACTTTCCCGGACTGAATATATCAAAGATATGTATATCTTTGATGTGTATACTGATCCTTGAGCGTGTCCAGATTTCGAACGCGTCGGACGGACATATTGATAAACTAGAAAAGAAGTTTACCGAAGGGAAGAAAGTAAAAGCTCGAGTGACTGGATTTAGGATAATGGATGGTCTGGCCATAGCCAGCTTGAAGGTGAGTTGACTAGTAGTAGACCTTCTTAAACCGCAAAGTTAATTTTCTGGATGGCAGTTGGTACCTTTGAATATTGGGAGTTCTGCTGGGTGTCGAGCTAATATACAGGGCTGCTTTTGGTTGATATCTTTACTAATAGATGGTGTTGCCATGGCCTCAATCACTGGCCAGTAATTTTCTTAGCAAATTTTCACTTAAGATGTCGAGACCATTATTTTTTTTCAGGCATGGGGCTTCCATGTATCACCTGAAAATCGGTATGGAGATCTTTTTTGAAAGGTATACATTATTAGTAACCTGACGGAAATGCCTCAATATTCGGTTCTTGGATGTTGCAGACAGCCGTGTTGGAGCAACTGATTTTGAGTCACGCCGATGTCAAAGTAGGGATGCTGGTACACGCTACTGTTGTAGCCGTAGAATCTTTTGGGGCCATTGTACAGATAGGAGAAGGATTGAAAGGCCTTTGCCCTTTACAGCATATGTCTGAGTACCAGCGGTCCACACCAAGTCCAAAATTTCAGGTTCATTTACCTTCCTGACTTGTCCCTATAACTTGAGCCAGTGCACTGAAGCCTTCATGTGGTTAAAAAATATATTAGTTCGTCGTGCGCTTTTTTCGGCTTCTGCTATGCGGTCAAGACATGCAAGAATGTATGATATGTAGGTGTTGAGGTCAGACATCCTTTGTTTGTTAGAGGTCTACTTAAGCCAGCTTTCGTAGTCGGTATAGCGAAATGTCAATGAGTTTATGATTTTTCTTGCCTTTATTTTTATCTTTCTGACATGTTCTTGAACATCTGTATCCGAATTTCGTTTTACATTTCGAAATGATATGAAATCTATATAGCAACTTGGTGTCTGGAAATTGCCCTTTTTTAACAGGAAGATCCCCATATCTTGTCTTCAGTTGTTTGTGCAATCGTGTTTTGCACTGACTGTTTCTTTCTCAGGTCGGAGCCAAGTTGAAGTTCAGGGTGATAAGTATCGATTCTGAGTCGAAGAAAGTCACACTTACTCACAAGAAGACGCTGGTAAGCGTTAGCAACCTCTAAATAGAGGTTTTCAATGATATTTTCTGTTGTATTTGGTGTTGGTTGTTTTTTCTGCATCGCACATATGACCGAATTGTAGATGTTGTCGATGTTCTGTAGTTATAACTGACTACTGCTCTCTGAAGTGGAGTTATGTCTTGATGATATGAGGACCTTGACTTCCAGCTTTCAAAGGATGATTTCAAAGTCTACTGCTCTGTCCGTTCTTTACCTTAATGGGGATATTTGACTTGTAGGTTTCTTCTAAGCTGACGCCCATCACAAGCTTTGAAGATGCTGTAGAGGGTATGGTCACTTACGGCTGGATCACTGGAATTGAAGATTATGGTTGCTTTGTGAGCTTTTACAACGACGTCAAGGGCCTTGTTCACAGGTAAACACTGTGATCAGTTTGTCGGATGACTGTTGTTTGTATACGAGCTGAAAACTCACTATTCCTTTTCAAATAACTAGTGGATTGCAGATTAGCCGCAGCAGTAACGTTGTAGGTTGACTGTTTCGTCTAACACCAATTATTCTTTTCAGCCATGTATGCTTATAAATGTCTTCTGACCGATTGACTTCATGCCTCCTATGTGATCTCTGGTTCTTCTCGCCTCTGGCTTGGGGTGGTTCTAATAGCCGGTTCATGTCGGATCATTTTTTCTCGGCAAACAGGGTGTGGGTTTTCTGTTTCGGTTTTAGTTGTTGTCATGGAGTTATAAATGATCATGCGGGCTGTCGATGTTCTGTCCAAATCGATTTATTACGACTTAAAGGTGTAGTTGCCATATATTACCTCCGTACGGAGGCTTACAAAATTGCTACTCTTATCTCAAATAGATTTTGACCGTTTGCATGTGCCGTCTGTGGATCAGAACGGAAATGGGGCTTCCTTCAGGCAACAATCCGACCACTGCATTTCAGTTGGGTCAGGTTGTGAAGTGTAGAGTCATGCGATCAGATCCTTCTTCAAAGCGGTTATCTGTCAGCTTCTCAACTACCAACAGGTAATGTGCCTGAACAAGGCCATATGTGGACGTTTTTTCCCTACAAACGAGCCCTCAGGAGTACAAAAAATTTGCTGCAACTTTGGCACTCCCTTGAAGCCTATGATTGGCACGCATGGCGTGCCATTCAAATTATCATTAGATCCTTAGGGTTTTATATTTCTGTAGTCGAAGTAAATGAGCACTTTTTTAAGAATCACACTGCAACTAGTCCAAGTTATAAGGACGGGCTGTTTAACTTTGCCTGCCGAAAATCGTGATTCTATGTTTACAGTAATGATGTACTTATCTTCGGCCAATCAGAGTAGTTTTCACCTTTGGCTTGACATTTATACCTTGACATATGGGTGGAGAGAGAGCTCGATGTTGGTCGGGATCTAAGCATGTGTAACGGGTGGTTATGAACAGAACGGATAATGACGCAGAAGGGATCCCTGAAATCCAGGTGGGGAGTATAGTTTCTGGGACAGTTTCGCTAGTGAAGGACAACTCTCTTATGGTAGATGTGATGGGCCCAAGGGGTGTTACTCAGGGTGTTTTAGCCTACAGTCAGCTGTCCGACATTTCAGGTTTGCATCTATCTTCGCGTGTCTTCTTCTTGCCTACTCTAAGTGATAACCAAACAATGTAGGGATTGTTTCAGCTCTCGATAATTAAGTGCTGAGCGTGTTCTTCTACCGTTTTAGGGCACGTTGAGCAATTCAAGGCTCTGCTTAAACCTGGATACAAGTTCGACCGTCTTCTCGTTTTAGGTATGTATGTTCAATCTTTAAGTCGTAGAACTTAATATCTTACTCATATCATGTTTCCTTCTAATGTCATCCTTTCTCGCCAACATTTTGCTTTTGTGATATCTTGGATTAATCTGTTTTTGTTCGTTATAAGGTGAATCACAATAGCAGTTTTTCCACTGCAGGCCCAGCCACTTACAGCTCGTTATTCCAGTTTCCAGGAAGCTCACATTGTGTGCTAACAACAAAACGTGATAGTTTAGATTGATGTTTATCAGAGTCCACGTGATACGTGAGTCAAACTTTTGTAGTTTAGATCGGTTATGCGAGTTTAGTGTCTTGAAGTATACTTGTATAAGTTTCATGCTCTTCTCCCATGTCCTTAGGAGTCAAATTCTCTACATTCATGCTAAAAGCCTGTTTAGTACGTTGTTGAGTTCGTGGTAGTTTGATGTCTCACCTGCTACATTCTGTATAGAGGTTATGCATGGAATGATATCTCCCGCCAATCATTGCTATAAAATTGAAACCAAAAGGACTGAAACTTAAGTTGACTTCTTATATGTAGTGATTTCCTTCTGATGTATTTCTCTGATTCCTTTCAGTTGAGAATACCTCTCTTCTTGTCTTGGCTTGAGCTGTCGTCATGATGGTCTGATTGACATGCCCCACCACTGATACTCTCAGAATTGAAGGAGCGGAAGCTGGTATTGTCTGCTAAGTTTTCTCTCTTGGAAGCCGCGTCATCACTACCTTCAGATGTTTCACAGCTTCAGGCGGATTCTGTTCTGCAGGTTCGTCTCGAACAGGAGTAGCATTTTTTGATCAGACTACTCAATATAAGATATTTTTGAAATGCGTTGATCATAACTGTGATACCAACATAAACATTACGTCATACTACCCTTTCAGTGGAAACGAGAAAGTGTTAACGGTGCCTCAGCCCCATTGAAACCTGTCGAACAATTAGCGTCGCTTAGAATTTATTTGTGTTTTTGTCTCTCGCCAAGGTAAAGAAAGGAATGTCGGAAGATAACCAGGAAATATCTCTAGATCATGCATGACTAAAATATGTGCTTGGCAAGATGACTAATCCGCTTATGATATTTTACAACCTTCAATTTCTTGATCACGACTTTTGTGACGGTGAGGACCAAATAAGCAGTCGGAAAGTGGTGTGCTTTGGTTCATCGACTTCTCGCAGCTGTCGTGTGTTGTAAGCTCGAACTTGTGATTTGCAGGGATACATAGCAAATGTCATACCTTCTGGATGCTTTATTCGGTTTCTTGGACGACTCACAGGGCTGGCAAGCTTGCGTGAAGTAAGCTTCCTACAGCCGAGAGGCTTCTCTCCACCTTTTTCTTTCAAGTCGCAGCCATGTGTTGTTATTGGACACTGAAGAGTTTGCCGTTTGGGAGTACTCTTTTCCTGTCGATCTTGCTTAATATGGCAAAGAACTGTGGGAAATTTTCTCACTGTTGTTGCTCGACTTTTTCTGACAGGGAGTGTTAATGCTTTTATACACTGATCCACTTCCCTTTAAGGTTATTAAAATCGCTGCTTGTGGCATGATTGAAGGCTTCAGATGTTTTCATTGCCGATCCATCGAAAGTATTTTCTGCTGGTCAGAGTGTACGCGCCAAGGTTCTTCAGGTAATATTGTGAGAATTGCAGAAAGTACATGCTGAGGATCATAGCCGAGAAATATTCTCAATTTCGTTGTGATGCTGTAGTTGGTCAGTACATTCGTCCTCATGACGTGTGTCCGAAAATTAGACCCCTTCCAATTGGGTTTCTTCTCTCTCAATGTTGTATCAAACATGATGCTGTAGTTGTCTTTCTTTCCAGCATTTTGTTCTTTATCGATCGGAGTGTTCCATTGTTCGCTCGTTGAGAAGCCGAGGGAGTTCATGTTTCTTGATCTTGCTGTCCGATCTGCAGTAGCAAAGTATTAACTCGCGTGAAATTGGGGTTCCTTCGGTTTTCTTCAGGTGATGGAGGAAAAGGGCAAATTTTTTGTTAGTCTAAAGCAGTCCCTCTGTTTTTCCACCGACGCTTCTCTTCTCCACGGTTTTCTCATAGAAGAAGAGAAGGTGACTATTTGTTTTGTCGAATAGCATGATCACTTGCGAGTACGATTACCCTTCGTTTAAAAAAAAGATGGAGCCTGGTTGAGAACTATGCCAGCATTCTTAACATGAGCTGGGATCCTATATGAATTGTGTGAATTTGATGACTGACCGAGAAGAGTCTCGATGTGTGTTGTACAGATTTTCGAGCTACAGTCGGGCTCCAACGGGGCCTCAAATGTTGAGTGGTCAAAGGAGCTTACAATTGGAAGCTATGTGGATGGAGAAATACAAGATGTGAAGGACTATGGAGTAATTGTGAACATCTACAAGCACAAAGATATTGTTGGATTTTTATCCAAATATCAGTGTAAGTTTACCTGTTTGTCGAAGATCACGTCAATATTTTCGATTTTTCTTGATATTCCTGTTATCGATGGACTTTTTCCTTGGAGATGTCCTTGCGTTCTAATATTGATCACTGAGCTCCCCTGGATTTTAGGTCTTAGTTTTCGAACTGCTCTCTGCATGTAGACAATTATACTAAACAATGAAATCTGCTCCAAGCAGTAGGTGACCCTGTCGAAGTTGGCACAAAGGTCAGAGCGCGTATTTTGGACGTGGCGAAAGTCGATGGTATTGTAGATCTCACCATCCGAACAGAATTGTTTTCTTCTGATGATTCTGCCAGTATCAAGAAGAGCAATTCAAAGGTACGTATGTAAGGCTCAGTGCATTTTATATGACACTAGATTGTCAAGTTTTGAAGACTTCGTTTGTGTTGCTATCTTAAGTTTAGCAAAGTTACTTTCTGCATTTCAAGTTTCAGTCATCTTCGGCTTTTCTGGCTTCACAGGAGTTTTAGTTACTACTGCTGTGGTAACTAGTTCTCTTCTACCCAAAGAGTCGCTGAACAAAATAATGAAAACAAAAGCTCAGCCTCTCAAAAGTGGGAAGCGAGCTTTTTGTCTTCGTTATTACAATTGGAAAGCAAAGTCTGACGTCAATCCAACTATTTATTGCAATTGTCATTGTCCCTTGTGGCACACTCCCGTGGAGAGGCTGCAAGGGCAAGGCCATCGATTGCAGTGTTGGTTTCGACTCATCGACATGTGAATCCATATTGTACCGACTTGAAGAAAACCCTGAAAAACTGTTACCATCAATTTTATGGCTGAGCTTTTAGTGAGCGAAGTCCTCAGACGAAAGTCTGCAGACTTTGTTCGCATGTGAGCATTTCACACCGACTTTGCGCGGAATGTTTATGCAATGAACGAAACTTCGCGAGGTCTGCGCATTTCGGACTGTATCGTCATCTGCGGCTGGGGGGTTATCCAAAGAAAATGTATTCGTGACGTCCAGTCGAACATACCTATCCTTGGCTTTTTGTTCTGCGAACGGGGTTTTGCAGTTGACGTTTTCTATTTTCATACAGAAGCGGAAATCAAGCTACAACGTGGCGCCAAAACAGACGGTTACTGCAGTGGTGGAAGTTGTAAAAACCGAGTACTTGGTACGTACTAAACTCAAGATTGTTGGGGAGTGCTGATGTTGAATGGTCTTGCTAGTGACAACTAACACTCAGACGGAATGTGATGTTTCCTGTTGGTTTTAAGGTACTTTCACTGCCAGATCATGGTAATTTGATTGGGTTCGCATCGGTGCATGATTACAACGTTCGCCTACAAGATCCGCACAAAGACTTCCGCCCGGGACAAAGGTACTTTTGTCGTCGGATAGGACATCCCTCCCATGGTCTTTGATTCAGTGTTTTGGGAATCTTTGGTGTTGCTTCATGAACGTGTCTGGTATTGTGGTATGCCACGCCTATATTAGCAAGCAAAATATTTCAGTTTACCCTTACAAACAACACCAGTCAGAGAAGGGAACGAGTTTTCAGCCATTTGATGATATCGTTTATGTCCGTCTAGTTGCCTTTTTTCTACTTGGATTTATGGCTTTTTGTTGTTTGCTTCCTCTATTTCATTCCTGTAGTAGCCAACCATCTGCTGGATCCCTAAGTAACGCCAGAGAACTGGGACCCAAAGTCTTTTGTGTACGTGGAGCGGCGCCGATGACATGAGCAGGGAGCTGTGGTGCTTTTATGCTAGATGTCGATAGTTCTTCGAACTATCACGCGTGATAGTTCACACGAGTCTCTACCTCAGTGATCATCCCGTCATAAGATTTGTGAAATTCCAAAATCTCAGTACTTTATACCGTCCTTGCAGCTAAATACTTTGGTTTTTGTGTTTCTCTTCATCATATCGCATGTTCTTCTAATTCTTACACTTTAGCGGTCCTGATCCCCATACCTTCGTTGTATTTGGTAACATTTCGCGGGTTGTTCACTTGATACGATCCTTAATTGTCCTTATCTCGTTGATTTAATTATCTCCTTGGATTGTTACCTCTGAAGAGTGTGCTGGGCCTTTTTCCAACCTTGTTCAAGATATATATTCTGGGGCTGCGGAATTGAACAGGTAGACGACAAATCGAAGAATCCTTTTTAGTTCACATCTGACAACTTTGAAATAACCTAATCTAGTGGGGTTCTTCTATCACAAGGGAAGACCTCTCACTCTCTCTCTAAAGTGATCTCTCGTTCTTCTCCTCCTTCATTTCCTTTCAGTTTCTCTGCATTTCAGCCTCTTGGCACCAGAAGGTTTTGCCCACGATCCTTTGGTCACTCCTGGCTTCCGTTGTTGGTTTTAAATGTTTAACTTTTTGGGAAAAAAATAATACCAGACAAAAAAATCAGGCTATATAGATGTTATACATCCGACGTGCAATTTGTGAACCCATAAAACGTATTGTACTTGTCAAAACTGTCTATTTAGCCTTCTTAATCTCCTCTACTTCGCTTTGTATACCAGGTCGTGCTGCAGCAGCTCTTTCTTCGCTACTTACAAAGTCGGACATGTGCATGTTTCCAAATTATTACTCTGTACAGTCCTAGATGCTTGCCTTTCTTTGTCCTAATCACGTCGTCATGCTTACGTAGTCACGATGTATTACTTGGCAGGCTGACCGCAAGAATACAACATTTACCAAATGAGTCCACAGGTGGAAGGCTTTTGCTTCTACTTGACAAATCGAGCAAGGTCGCTGAATTGGCTTCTCCGAAGAAGCAACGGATGCAATCCAGTTTCACCGAAGGTGCACTGGTTGTAGGAGAGGTACTTTTGAGCTCTAATAGCATGCCCGCTTACCGCTGAATTGAAGTAAGAGCAGTCCTCCTTACTGCACTTTGACGTAGAGAAGGCTTCTGTTCAGGGTTATGGATGGCTATCAGTTGAAGTCGCCAATGACCACTCTTTCACCTCTCGTTCAAAATGGTAAAGAGGATCATTCCACTTACTAAAATTCTTCATCCCCATTTTTGCGGCCGCTCTTGTAGTGGACATACAAAGATTACTTGGCTGTACTACAGTTCAATTGTTTCCCCCGAGGTCACAGTCTGCGGGATGGGGCACGAGTTCAGTTACCTTTTTTTAATCACGATAGCAAACGCTAACAAGTGGAAGGTGTTTTCTCTGGTAAGAGTGCGCAAGTCTGATGGACTCTTGGGTTTGTTGGCCTCAGATCCAGTCAATCGATCCAGTAAATATGATATTGGACCTTGGGAAGAGTGTCAAAGGAGTTATCCATGTTTCAGAGGTATGTGTTTGTATGGATCTTCTGTATTTCATACTTAAGCATTTGAAAGTACTGCTGAGTTTTAAGGTCAGAGTGGTCAATTGTGTCTGTAAGGTTGGTCCTTGGGAAGGATGTCAAGGGTTCGATACACATACCTCGGAGGTGTCCGTTATGGAATTTTCTGTGTTGCATGCACAAGCAGTTGTGTTTAGGCTAAGAGTCAATATTTCCTGATGCTCTATGGCGGCAATGTCTCTGGAAGGGACATGCTATCAGAGGGCTCAGATAGAACTCTTTGTTTGGTATTCATTTGCATGTGTGCAGAATACTTTATATTCTAATATCTTAATTTTCTTCATTCATTACTCAGGTGTGGGACGAGTTTATGGAAGGGCATCCATTTTCTGCTTACAAGGTTGGGAAGACTATCACAGCGAAAGTCCTGACTACATTCAAGACTCCCAGGACAACCGATGGGCTTCCTGAGACTCATTTGGAGCTATCACTTCGCCCTTCAGAACTCTCAGGTCTGTCTAAAACTAATTTCTTCAAATTTTTCAGTGTCTTAGATATTGTTGTTGATACTGATATATTTATATGTATTGTTGTCGATGGATTTCCGCTTTTTGAAATCTTGGAGTGGGTCCCATTAGTTTACGGTCCTGGACATACTTACAAGTCAAGCGTATGCAAACGATTTTACTGAGCATATGGATTCTGTTAATCCAGCTGAAGGAGTAACAACGGGCAGTCGTCCGCTTTTTGAGACGATGACAGTGGGACAGATTGTGACAGCGTATGTTCACAAAATTGAGGATGATAAAGCTTGGCTCCTCGTAGGACCCCATCTACGTGGTCGCTTGTTTATTCTGGATTATTCAACCGAACCATCGGAACTCCGTGAATTTCATGCAAGACTTAAGGTTGGTTATGCACACCGTTGCTGGGTTCTGGGGAAAGATCTGGAGAAAGGTACCCTTGATCTTTCTTTCAGAGAAGTTAGTGCAACCGGTGAGGTGTTGAGTGGCAAGGTGACACAATCTACTGTGGAAAAAGGGAATGTTTTAGGGGGTAGGGTGACGAAGGTATACCCGGGAATTGGAGGTCTTCTTGTGCAGATCGGTAGTGGGACGTATGGAAAGGTCCATGTTACCCACCTTTCTGATGTATGGTTGGACAATCCTGCGAAGAAGTTTCAAGAGGGTCAGTTTGTTAAGTGTGTCGTTCTGGAAGTGAGCACTGAAGCGGACGGAAAGCTTCGAATAGCCCTCTCTTTGAGGGCCTCACTGGGAGGTCTTGGAAGTGAAGACGACGATGTTGGCTCGGAGACTAGGTACTATTGAGTGGAAGAATGCTTGCACCGCTGAGTGGCCGGCGGGCTGCCATTTTACTGTTCTTTTATTATTGAATGCAGCAAATTGGCGTATGTTTCTTATGTGTCGGTGTTTGTGTACAGGCAAGAAGACGCTGCAATAGTGGAAACTTTGCAAGACCTTAGCGTGGGCCTACGCACTCAGGTTTGTTTTTACACTGAACTGCAGTGCTGGAGGAGCTCATATCTAGCCTTGGTTGGAGACTAGCCTTTCTTAATGTTTTTTGTTATGTGTTCTCTGACTTCCTTACGATGACTGCTCTTTTACGCTGGTTGTAGGCTTACGTGAAAAGTGCGAGTAAAAAGGGGTGCTTTGTGGTCCTCTCAAGATCTGTTGAGGGCAGAATCCTTATAAAGAATTTATCAGACACATTCGTCGCAGATCCAGCCGAAAGCTTTACCCCAGGGATGGTTGTCAGGGGCAGGTATGTATTTGATCCAGATGCCCAGATTATTGTAGATCTCGAAGTATAGTTCCCCACGGTATCTTCATCACTCTCCCATACCGACATCCGAATATTTGTGATACTTTTGCTTTTCTTGCAGGATCATAAGTGTTGAACGGCTTTCAGGCCGCGTGGAGATGTCGTTGAGGACCTCACAGTCTACAAATTCAAGTAAATCAGTGGACGATATTCAGGATGAAAAACGTTTTGAGAGTCTAAACGTTGGAGATATAATTACCTGTCACATCAAAAAGATTGCATCGTTCGGACTATTTCTTGCCATCGAGAGCAGCCAAATTGTAAGGCCTCGTGTTAACGTGAATTTCAAATGTTGTGCTTGATTGTTCTGAAATCTCCTTATTTGTATGTACTGTGAGTTTGTAACTTTGTATTCATTGGGTTTTTGGACAAATATTGATTCCAGGTTGGCCTATGCCACGTTTCCGAAGTGGCTGATAACTTTCTGGACAGTCTTACGAATCACTTTCACGTTGGGCAGAAAGTTCGTGCAAAGATTTTAAAGGTAAAATTTTTTCTGTTCAACATTTTCTCTCAACCAAGCGAATTCTGCGTTTAAAATGTGGAACCTAATATCTTGAGTCTGCTTAGTCGTTTTTTTCACATGCCCTTGTGCGTTCTTCCACGCTATAAAGGAGCACGATTTTTTTTTTAAAACTGTGCATTATCACAATCAAACTGTGCACCTCTTTATGGCCTGGGTCGCAGATTGGAGAAAACTGACATGTCCTATTTTAAAGCTTTGATGACTTTGAAACAGGGCATGTCTGTACTGTAGTAGCTGAGCTGACTTAATAATGCTATGCTGTTGTGCATTCATGTTGTATTTTTATTCTTTGTTACAGTTAGTTCCTTTTGATTTAGGTTGTTATATTAGGGACATTATTAGTTATCGTTCTAGTGCTCTTGGCACTAGCTAGGGTTTGGCCTTTGGGGTCTTTTCCCTTGTTTGTGGCTGTCGCTTGTATTGTGTTTTTCAGCCTTTTGACCCTTTGGGTCCCCCGGGCTTGATCTATTACCATTTACCATTTACATTTATTGTGCAGATTGATGGAGGGAAGAAGCGGGTTTCCTTTGGTATGAAGGAGTCTTACTTCTCCTCAGAGAAAGTGCGTTATGGAGGTGAAGAGGATTCCGAAGCAGCTGTAGATGACGAGGACTATGAAGTTGACGCAGATCTGGACGGGTTGAACAACGGCAGAGATGAGGATGATGATAGTGATGAGAGTCTAGGCAAAGAGAATGACGATCTTGAGGTTCTTGCTGCAGTTACTAAGAAAAACTTTCAATCTAAACTATCAGAAGTTGTACCAGCTCTGGAAGTTGATTTGGATCCTGAGAGTGGAGATGAGAATGAGGGTGGCATTGAAAAGGGCGAAGAAGATCGAACGGAAGACGAAAATGAAGGAACAGAGAAGCAAAAGAAACGTGCCAAAAACCGCTTGAAGAAGGAGAGGTAAAGAAACATCTAGATCGTCCAACAAAAAAACGTTGTTAATTCTGTTATGTTTTTTTGGATGGAGAGATTGTGTGCACACAAGAAACCAGAGTGATCGACACTCTATTTCTTCAGTAGTCACATGAGCTTAAACTTAAGTTAACACGAATAATACGCTTCTGTAGTCTTATCGTACATGCTGTTCAAGAGACCTGTTTGGACACATAATTTGATTTGTCTAATGGACAGACTTTGGTGTTCAAGTAGTGTCTTCTCTTTTAGTATTTGGCTCTTAGTCTGGCATGCTCGCATTTGAGTGGACGTTTTCATATCAAACATAATATTAGTCTTGAGGGGAAGTTTTTATGATTGTATGAAGTACTCCGCAGGCAAGTTTTCCGGATCCTTTTGCCCAAGAAAACTTCAAATCTCCTCCAGTCTTATTTTGTTTAACAGGAAACGATTGTATCTGTTAATCATATCTCCCGTCGAAATTGTCTTTTTCAGGGAGGCCGCAATAGCCGCAGCAGAGGAGAAAAGACTGAAGGATAACGAAACCCCAGAAACTGTTGATGAATTTGAACAGCTAGTCCGAGCTTCCCCTAATAGCAGCTTTGTGTGGATCAAGTACATGGCCTTCATGTTGTCAATCGCAGACGTTGAGAGAGCGCGCGCTGTTGCTGAGAGGTTAGTTTTGTTTGAAAAAATCTACGTCTTTTTGTAGATGCTTTTAAATTCAACAACGAATGCAATTTCATTTGACTAAAACGTAACCCAGATTTGAACAACCGGGTAGAGCATGATAGTTTACACCAGATTAATTACAGCAGACCTATGAAGTGCATCAGTAAATCTAATTGCCGCTGTGTCCCCTGCATACTGCATCTGGACGTTATTTGGAGATTTACTATTTCAAGCATCTGACAATCTACTCAGCATCTGAATTACTTCAGTCTACCGTGCATGCACATCCTGGTTTCTCTTACAGGCTGATCATATGTCCTAAAGGATGGCATCTTTGTTAAGATGAAATGCATGTGACTTTTAGAGGGCATCCACAGCTATTTCTTGATTTTGTCATGGATTTTTCTGTCCTTGATGAGCGTCCATAGCTATTGATTGGTCTAATTTATTATAGATTCTGTTATCCTCGATCATTGAGATTTCATATTAAATTTTTTATGCCCTCCCGCCATTTGTGACGCAGGGCATTGCAGACGATTAACTTCCGAGAGGAGTCTGAGAAGATGAATGTGTGGGTAGCATATCTCAATTTGGAGAATGCTTATGGTAATCCCAGAAAGGTACTGACTTGAAGCTGAACTTGACTATAGCTTATGGAAGTCTTATGAGCTGGAAAAAGACACTGATTCATTAGGTTGTAAAGCCGTTGTCAGAACCCAAGATATCTATTCGTGTAAACTCTAATACTTTTGACATGGACATGCAGGAGGCTGTACTGAAGGTCTTCCAAAAAGCAGTGCAATATTGCGACCCTAAGAAGCTCTACGTCGCTCTGTTAGGAATATATGAACGAACAGAGCAGGAAGACATGGCGGATGAACTGTTGAAGACAATGGTTCGAAAGTTTAAGACTTCAGCTAAGGTTAGAAGTCAACATCTCCTCTAATAATGCTTCGCAAATTGTAAAGTTGGAGCACGTTTGCACGTTTGTTTGATCACAGAAGACCATTTATGATATCTGTACCTTGTGCAAGCAGATCTGGCTTAGGTTTATTCAGAGGGCCTTGAAGAAAGGTGCTGCAAACAAGGCTTTGGATCAGTCGCTTCTTAGTTTGCCAAAACGGAAGCATCTGAAGGTTATAACTCAAGTTTCAATTATGGAATTCAAACATGGGTCACCTGAACGGGGTCGCGCCATATTTGAAGGGATCGTTCGGAACTACCCAAAGCGACTCGATCTTTGGAGTGTTTACCTAGATCAGGTATTTTTCTGAGTCAAGTATTACTTGTTACAGCTGCTAGCTTCTTGGGTTATATCAGTGACTTTTCCTTCCATGTACAGAAGCAAGTTTCGTTCATTCAATTTATCCGCCAAGAGTTTTTTTCCAGTTGTGTTAAACAGGGGTTTTGTCTCTTAAAGATCGGACATTCATGAAAGTCAAATGAATTCGGAAACCACGTGGAGTTGCTAAATGTGTATATTGTACAGGAAATTCGAGTGGGAGATGTGGATATAGTTCGAGCGCTCTTTGAAAGAGCTGTTTTGTTGGAGCTGCAACCTAAGAAAATGAAGGTGCGATCCTCGACTCCATGTGCTGATTGTATGCAGTTTTGTGTTGAGTACGGAACTTTGCGGGCCTATAGCCTCTCTTCTTAAATTTTCTGAATTGCCATGTTTTCTGGAATTTACAGACCCTTTTCAAGAGATATCTTGACTTTGAAAAAACTCACGGTGACGAGGCGCGCGTGGAGTATGTCAAAACCAAAGCCATGGAGTACGTCGAAAATAAATTGGGCTAGACTTGTGATGTAGTGATGCAGTTTGACATCTGTATGCATTCAAACACGGGGTTATATAATTGTTTAAGCTTCGAGCAAGTGGTTACTTGGCCACTTGAGGGATTGCTTACCACATTCCTGGAGTTCATGACTACTGCTATCAACAGAAAGTTTTTGGTGTTTTGAGTGTCAAGTAAAAGGTTCAAATCTGAGTGAGATGAGGTTATTATTTTCGAACTTGCAGTTTCTATTGCCAAGAAGTAAATGAAATGGATCACCAGTCTGTTTCCATACCTGAACTTCATTAAAGACTTTACGCGAGATGTAATGTACTCGTTAATGTCGTCCGGTTTCTCTTGTGAGGTGTTAGAGAGTGAGAAGAGTGAGAAGAGTATAACATCGTCGTCATTTCAAGAAAGTTCTCATATATGGAACATTGTCATAGAGATCTTCAGAACACAAGCATTAGGAACACCATGACGAACTTGAGGCTGCTAACCGTTTAGAAAATATTACCAGTGAGTCAAGTCCGTCTCGACGATTCAGAAAGCTACTGGACAAAATGGTAGAATGTAATGCGTGCGTGCAGACGAATAGTGCGCTCGACTTTGAAACTCGGAGGCCAATGCTTTATCATTAAAAGGCGCGGTTAATCTGTGTAGGACCAGGGTTATTCAGGAAGAAACAGAGCTTGAGAACTTTTCTGAAAAGATCCCAACCTCAGAGCTTTGGTGCAACCGTATTATCGTCCGGTTCAGACTGCGTGCAGAGCAGAGCAGATTATGGGACCCAGTACTAAGGCCATACCACACCACTCCACGCACTCTTTTGCGGAAGCTATGAGCTGGACAACCTTCTTATATTCACCCGGCCCAGCTCCATACGCCAACCCATCTCGCCCTCTCATAACCGATGGCTCTCATTCTAGCTTCTCCACCAACAATCAACCGGTCTGCCAGACCAGACCCGCACTGTAAGCAAGCACGCTGCTCTTCTGGTCTCTCCTCACTGCAGCAACTGTCTGAACAAGCTTATCATCCGGCCATCCCCCATTGGCTGCACTGCAGATTTGTCAGTCTGAACCTCTTTCTCCTTTCCGTTCATCAATGAAGTGGAGATTGAGGGGGTTTTTGATCGGTGCCTCCCTCCCCTTCTCAATCTCAATCTCAGTGGTGGCTAAAGGTGCAGAGCAGAGAGAGAGGGACCTCCAAACTCTCTCGTACACTTACAGTACTGTATTTGCTTTCGATGGACTGCTCTCAATAGATGGAGAGAAGCCAAATACAGTTAACAATGGGACCGACCAACGAGCGTAGCCCGACTGACAGAGGATGGGGTCTGTAAATGTCTCCAGGCCTCGCTTGGTTCAGTTGCCGGCTGCTTGGGGCTTGCACTGTCTGCAGTCAAAATTAATCAAGTTTGTGTTCGCTTGCTGCTTCTTCTTCGTTCCGCTTAGCAGACTGAATCAATGATGTGTTCGCTCTTCATGATTATCTTCTGAACCACGTAAGCATATCTCTCTCTCTCTCTCTCTCTCTCTCTCTCTCTCTTTTCCTTCATTAAGTTCATAACTTATGAATCATAAGTCTTCATGGCCTCTCACTTTCACTAGACCTGACCTGAGTCACCGACTGGCTTCTGGACTGAGGACTGACTCGCTTACTAACTCCCTCCCTCCTCTCTTCCTGACCGATTGATTGACTCACTGTCTCCCTCCGAGCTTTGAATATGTGATTAGAGCCATTAGCCCCACGGTGCTGAAGCTGGTTGGGTTCAGCGACGGGCGACCTTTTCCAATCCACGAACCACTGATGTCATTTCAAGGCAGTGTTTGGAACTCCGTTTGCAATTGATGTTCTCCATACTATGGCAGCTGGATTGTGGCACGGAGAACTTCCTGGATTGTGCTCTCTTCATCATCCGAAACGGCGGGTTTCCTCTTTTCTACCTTGCTTGCGGTGATGGAGCGAAGGCGAGTAAGAACGCCAAGATGTGCCTAATAACGTTTAACCGAATATCGGGTGAGTGGATACGAAAAGATTTCGGTGTCAGCTTTAGAGTAGAGGAGGAGGGGTAAGAATAAGATCCAACACATTGATGTTCATAGACATGTGAACATGTTGTTTTATGTTTTGCAGAAAAGCCTTTTAATTAGTCCCTTGGAGCGTGACGTCAGATCACATGTCCTCCACCAATCGGAAGGCCAGGGAAAGTACACCAATCGGAGCTTACCAAATTTTCCCTGAATTTGCAGGCTCTAGTATGAAGAACATATGTTATGTTCTTCACTTATTGAGCACTCATGTCTCTTTGTCGCTCTTCGAAATCACATGACCATTTATTAGAAGGTCATGGCTCCGCAATCCAGTCTTTAAATAGAGAAGAAAAATACAGAGAAAAAGAAGACTAATGTCATGGCCATGCTTTCTTAGCCGAAGAAGTCAAAGAAGATATTGCAAAAGTTTGATGTAACGTTTTCCCACATAAATGAAAGATTTGAACGATGTGCACATGTGTTGGAGACAGATTTTATCCACGCTTAGACGTGTACAACAATCAGACTAAGCATACAGTTTGCCTGCTCTTGATCTAAACCCTCAACCCTTCAGGTGGCAAGGCAGGCTGTCTGCATGAATAAGATTTGGTGCCGTCAGCTGAGTCCATCCGAACTGTAGAGAAGGGGCGTTGTCAAGCTGCTTTTCCAGCAAGTCGATGGTCGAGATTGCCCAATATGTTCTGAGTTGGTGACAGTAAAACAATGGCACCACCACGACAACAAAAACAAGCTCGAGTTTATCCACTCCGGCGTACCAGTGTCGCCAAAAAGCCATTCAACCAGATTTTCTAACGTTGCAAACGTTTTACCCAATGTCAAACAAACAAAAGAAAAGGGATATTGTTGCCCGCTTTGGGATATTTTGGTGTGTGTGATTTCACTTCAGTCCACGAACTTTTGTCACTATCATATCATGGGGGTTTGCTCGTGACGTGTCAGCACTTCTCGGAGACCGATCCGTCACTCCCCTGTTCACCTTTTGGCCATACACTAGGCCACGTTAAGGAGAGAGCTCTAGAGCATGAAAGCTCAGCTAAGCCTCGTCGCCTAGAGCTGGGCTCAATATTTGGGACGCTAACCCTGTACTTTCAGGCGATGGACGACTGGGACGACTGGTACCACATGGACTCAAAACTCGACTCCAGATCCGCACAGTGGCAACCATCACGCCCAGAAACCTTCGAAGCTGCTTCTCCTTTCTTCTATGGCAGGTTTCCATCTCGTATTATTATTATTATTATTATTATTGTATCTGATGAAGGTATCCTAGAAGGAACAGGTTTCGAAGTTCCCGAGTCGAGTCCAGTCAAATGAGGCTTGTCGTGAGCGTCAAATCGTTATGCTTGGCTCCATGTTCTTCCGGTAGCTGCTGGTCCTCTTTCAGTTTCTCTGCCCTTCTTTGTTCGTTGGAGCTTGCCGTAAGGACTTCTTCTTACAATCATCGCCTTTGCCTTCGGGAGCTTCGTCAGGTCCTCTATCTCCGCCATCATTTCTTGTTGATTCTGGCGCTTTGTCCATAATGACTTATTTGAAATACATGTGTTATGATTTGATGAGTGATTTGATATAACTTGGTATCGTGTAATTATCAACATTCTCTCTTTCTTTCTCTCTGTTCAATTTTTGAGGTGATTGTTATTATGTTGATTTACACTTTTTATCTTATCTTTCAAAGTTGTGTTAAAAAAAGCGTATAGTTTCATCAATAATCGTTGAAATGAACTGATATGTCTTTTTTCATAGTCTCACAAGTGAGAATATTGGTCCTTTGTCCAGAAGATCAGAAGAGAGTTGGGGAACAGCTTCCAACATTGAGGGAGAAAAAATGCCTAAAATCCAACACTGAAAACGAGAAAAAATCAGTTGGAGAAACAGGGAAGTAAGGTAGAACATTTTGATTCCAGATCTTGTATATTTACATGATGAAGTTGATCTTATTTGAAAAATGGATGCACAATTTAGGTCTGCTTGTAATTTTTCTACACACACACACTCAACTAATCTGACCAAATTTACTTTGCAGTATATTTAAATCATGAAGTGCAACTCAGATGTTTACATATTTAATATTTACATGGTGTACATAATGTGCATGCGTGAAAGAAAATATCAGATGATAAACCATATTAAAATGAGAGAGCGAAAAGGTCTACAAAGATATAACGCTCCCAAGCAAGAAGATTTGAAAGTAAGTAAAGGATCCCATGCCCGCCTTGTCACCTACGAATATGTTGTCGGTCTTAATTCCTATATCCATTCTGCTTATTAAATTTAGAGATATCAAGTTATATGAAAGAATATGTTCTAATATATCAGTAGGAAGAATTTTCAACCAATTTTTATCTATAACCCATTTATAATGAATTTCCATTGTAATTGCTGTTGAATGAAGTTGTTACATATACTACGATCCATATCTGTATCTTAGACTGGAGCTGATTCCACGAGTGAATTTTGAATTCCTCTAGAGATGTGGGTCGATATTATTGAATAAGCGTATCTAATGATATTGGCGTAAAACGCAGCTATTTCAGTAACAAGCTTAAGACCATCGTAAAATAGCCATATGCCAGTCAGATCCATGAGGACATTAGTAGATAAATTGAACCAAATATTGATAAATTATATATGTATATATATATATATATATATATATATATATATATCAAAATATAAATAGATATTTATGTAATATTTAAATATGCACATGGTGAGATTCAAACCGAAAATTCCTCTAACATTTTGTCGATCTATGGACGTGTGCAAATTCATAGCAATCGCAATAATAGTACCACATTATACGAAAGTAACCAATTAACTGTAAAAATGAGATTCTTCATGAACGTAGGATTGTATTTGTGATTTATAATTCAGGAAAAGACTAGTAAGATTGAACAGTTGGATCTTTCAAAATCTAATCTCATCATCACGTTGATGTATTGTTGCCAAGGAATAAACTAATGAACGTTGTGCATTTTAAGATATTCATTGCAAACATCATAATTAGTTTCAATACATAACACATTTTTTAAAAAATAGAAGTGAGTCAATGAGCCATGAAAGTGGTGAGTCTTTGATATAGGACAGAAGCAATTGAACTGCACGGTTGCATAATTAACTCGATATGTAACGCGCAAGGTATTTATGTTCGTACAATTTTTTTTAATCGAGATAGGCATATATCCAATAAACGAGAACGATTTAACATGATGTAGACACGAAGCACTTTTTGTGCAAATACGGAGATTAGACATATTTTACATAAAAAAATAAAGAAGAAAATTGGCATTTGAATGCGTTTGAACGTAGTATACTCATTAAAGGTAAAAAAATTAGTCATAATAAAAGATGAAAAGATATCATCTAGATATTAAAATCAGAATATGTTTATAAGAAATGAGTTTCACATACACAAGAAGAATTACCTTCCATAATAAGTTCATCAATGAATTGCATTACAATCAATACATATATATAGAAAATATAACACCCTCATTTCAATAGATACGCAAAAGTATATGTTGCAACATGAAGTATTTATATGATAAAGATGTATTTTGTTCCAATCACTCTATGTTAGTAGTTTTTGAGTCTTATGAGCAATGCTCTACTATCCGTAAGCATTTTGAAATAAAAACACTTTTTTCGTCTACTTACAATTTATATTGATGAGTTATAAAAGAGTGAAAGAAATTCTTTGTGAAATATAACCTTTTTCAGTGAATACATTAGTGGATACATTTATGATTTATACACTTTGTAGCTGTTTTTTCATACGAATTTATAACAAAGAAGCTGATTGTAATTTGGAATTACTATTTTTTCTTCCAAATTAATGAATTTGTTTAAATTCGTGAGTTTCAATACTCTTTGACCAAAATCTGATGGAATGAAAGTACATGAAAATATCTAAACCAATTTAAACATGACTTTAGAAATGATGTAACTATTTTAGTTTTATATATGTGTATGTTAGACAGTATGAGATTTTATATATATAGACATTTTAGTTAAAAAAATAAAAAACCTTTTAAAAACATAGATTTTTTTTAAATATTATCCTTTTGATTAAATCAGTGAAAAGTTAATTACTAGAATGAATTTTTTCTATGACTTATTTATTGCAATACATGGAAAACTAGAATATCTTTCATGTATTGCATTTAATAAGATTGCAAAAAATGTTGGTAGTATACATGTATACATTTACCAACATCATTTCTAATCAATTTTACTTAAAAAAATTTACGTGTTTTTCTTTTTCAGTACATGCCCATGCAAATAAATTTTTAATATTTGATACATTGGTTATACAAATTGAGTATCCATCGAGTATCAGACGTGAATGAGTTGAAAATCAATAGATAGTTTCCAATTTGAAAAATGTAGTAATAAACTAATAATTTGAAATGGAGCCTTCTAAGATTGCTTGTCAAAATTATATTGTTCACTAAAAATGCAATATTCGATTATGGTGTTGTTACTGCCTCACTACTTTTTTATGTGATGAGGTATGCGACAACTACTCAAAAATCTATTACAGATCAAGGAAGCATAAAGCCGCCTGATCGATAGTACAGTATATGTAAGAACAACTGCCCCATGAACTTTGTTTGTGTGTCCACCATAAGACGTCTACCAAATGCCTGATTTTTATCCAGTAGATTAAGTCTTCCTGGGAACTCGCACCTCGAATGCCAGTTTAAAAACTTCCATTTGACGGGGTCGTCGCATCCTTTTTGAGGGTGAAGAATTGCGGTTTTACTCCGTCCCGAGTCGCTTTTGATTACTGGTCAACAAGAGGGACAAGGATACAGAAATGAACGGAAGGTATGTCTGAAGTTCATGTGCTCGCCAAAAGATGGAGCGAGTACAAAGTGCAGAACCGAACTGTGGATGAGGCCGCTTTTCCGCCTCGTTGATGTGGAATGGCGGTACACGTAATGGTCACCTTTGAAGACGATGAGACGAGCACCAAGTGGACAACGCCAAATCAGGCTCGAGGTCAAACCCACATTCGCGAGAACAGGCGGAGAGCGAAGGAAATGATCGAACGAGAAATCTGAGCGAGCAAGTGTAGCCCCATGTTACCCTACGACTTGACGGGGTCGCCCATGCCTTTTGAGATTTGGCTGTGTCCCATGTTGCGTAGAGTAGCGTAGCGTGCGAGACCTACGAAGTACGTACGTACGGTCGTGGGTCGGTAGCCCGGGGATGTACTCTAGGTACATGGCACGGTGGGCTGTACGTGCTCTCCCTCGGATGTGATGGTGGGCTGGACTATGGCCGCATACGCTCTCTCCTGCCTGCGCGAGACAGTTGGAAGTTTCGATAAGCATCAGCGATTGAATGATTCGTCGTCACCTTTTACGCAGCGGCTGCGTCGCGACGAGTAGCTGTTGAATCGAGGGGAAAACATGGCTATGACATTCGATATCGGATTCCCATGTCTGGCATCTTTTCCTGGTTCTAGGGAAGCCCTATTCCATGCCCAAAAGCGTCGAGATGTTCACCGAAAAGCGTAGAGGACTGGACAATATCTCTTTACAGTACATGTATCTTGAAATCTCCAAGTACATCTTAAAGAGCGAGGGGGGTGGATATTTTCCTTGCGCCTGGTTCAATCGGATTTCTTCGTTGAATATTATCAGACGCCCATACATAGAGAGATAGGCGGAAGATATGCAGAACGTCGACGAAGCAGTTACTAATTGCACGGTTGCATGTTCTGGGAAGTGGAAGCGGATTTGCGAGGAGCTCAATGGCCACCTCGGCCCTCGCTGAGGTAAAAGCATAGCCGAGCCCATACCATCGTTCCGCTGGTCGACACAGGGACCGGAACAGGTTTGGGCGCTGGATGATGAACAGACAACATGCACACATTTCATTGACCGAGGGAAACCTGCCCAGATCGAAGCATTGGACCCTGAGGATCCAGGGCTCCCCGTTGGACAATGAGGATTCTGCGCTCCCCGCAATCTCTCGCTGTCTGAAACACTGATCGAAACTGGCTTCTGCAGTGAACCAACATCCTGTTCCCAGAGCAAAACTCCTTCCAGGCTGCCGCACGTTGCCCCAGAAGATATCTCAACTAATGGCGGTTCAGGGCTAGGCATGAAAAGCGGCCTACACGACCGCGTACCTGCTCCGCGCGGGCGGGCGGGCGAGGGAGGAACTTGACAACTTCGGCGATCGGACGGACACGATTCCTTAAGCAGAGGAGAGGCTCTAATCTAATCAGTCCCAAACCCGCAAGCTCTTGAGCTTCGAGAGGACCATGAGGTACAGAGCTGGCCGGACTATCTTGCACAAGAACCAAATCGTATTGGTTAGGCCACGGGTTGCCTTGCTTTGGCCATGCTTACCTCGAATAGCAGAGGATATAATGACACACGAAATCGAGCACTAGAAAAATTCGTCTGTGGCCTTGTCTTGTCGTGGGTCATCAACGAGGACTTGTATGCGGAGATGGATTTAAAGCATCATCATCTCATAAAATAATGTCCCAGTTGTTGCTGCTGCCGCAAGGGATTCTGCAGCGTACCTGGCAGCAACAGCCAAGTTTCTCTCCTTGTTAGTCCATGCAATCACAAGTGGCCGGACTTAACCCGGCCCTGATTAGCGATGTACTCATCACTTGTTGGGCTGATGCAAGAGGTTTGTTGGCTGCGAGAACGCAAGCTGCTAGCGACCGAGCGAAGATGGCGGCTTCATTTACTTCACCGTAACAGACCATTATTCTCCTGCTTACACTCAACCGGCCCTTTGCAACACTCAGTCCCTCCGCAGAGAGGCGATTGTTCATTAAGGGCCTGCCAGGCTACGTCTGCAAGCAAGAGGTCCAGGCCGGCCGGCCGGCCCGTCCCAGCCCAGCCCAGCCCAGCGCGGCCCCTTCAGTTTCTGCAGCTCGTTTAACGGAACGAGGAGTGCGGAGGATGGGAAAGGAAACGGCAACGGAAAAGCAAGCTCTCCTCTTTTGCAGGATGGATCGAAGTGAAGGAAGGGTCCAAGCCTGAGCTGGACTGGACTGGACTGGACTGGACAGGCCTGGCCTAATCCTGCCTCCCCAATCCTGTCGGCATGATGAGTATGGGCTAAAGGCTCTGGAAGGGGGTGGGGTGGGGGCATCCTATAAAGTGGGGCGGGGTGTCATCATACGCGTCATGCACCCTTCTCCGACTCTCGATAACAAATTCTCTATCCTCTTTCTCCCCTTTCACCGACCCACCTTCGGCTTCTCTTTCTCGCTCCCTTTCATACGCTTGGCTTTCTTTCATTATACCTGCTATCAACATGTACCGTGGGAGCAATCTACATCGTTCATATACTATTAAATTCCGGTGCCAGTGGAGAGGGCTGGTTTTTCCAGCCCACAGTCCAGGCGGTCAGACTTGTCCCCCCACTGCCTTCATTTGAACCAGATCTCTCTGCTATACCCTCTGCCAGCGATATTAATACTCTCCTACAAACTGCTGCCAAACTTCTGCCGAGTAAAAGGAGAAACAGACGTCTCTCATCTCGTCTCGTCTCTGACTCCAAGGCAACATAGCCCAGCAGAGCCCAACGAAACCTAAACCTACCACCATGCGTTCCTGGCTCCCTCGCGAGCCTCTTCAGCACCGCGCGGGCAAAGCATGGCGTAGTCCGAATTTCCAATTGTGCTCTTTTCTTGTATGGATTACGACCGAAATATTCAGGTGAGAGCAGGCAAAAGATCGGTACGACAGACTTCTGTGGAAGGATAGATCATGCAGTTTCAGGGAATCTACAATAAAACCTGCGAGAAAAGGTACATGAATCCAAGATGATCACCCAGAGTAGGATGGACGAGAGACGAGATAGAAAATTCCAGATTGTCATTCTTGCCCAATCCGCCTCCGCTTCTGCCATGGGACCGAAGACAACTTGCTGGTGACTTGCAGTGCTGTTGGGTTTATACCGCATCGGGGAACCCTAGGACAAAAGGTAGAAGCCATGTGTGTGGGTGAGACCCTCTGGGGAGGGCAGAGGGTAAAACGACGCGAAGCGAAGGCGAAGGGAGAGAGAAGAGTGAAAGAGAGAGACAGAGGGAGGGAGGGAGGGAGGGAGGGAGGAGAGAGAGGAGTGAATGAAGAGAATCGGGGCAGGAATGGGATGCGGTCTGGGGAACATGCAACTTTGTTGGCTTTGTACCGTAATGGATGATGTAGGTTAACTGCTGTCCCGCGGCCTTGGCCAACTTCATGTGCATGAAGCAGCTGGTGGTCGAGTTCATGTGGCCGGATGACGTCGTCAGCGCTCATTTATGTGCCCGGTGATGACAGAAGAGCGCTTCTGTTGCTGCTGCCGCTGCACATCAGCCGGCGAGCAGCGGCCGCGGGCGACGAATGAATCACGAGATGCGACAGCCGGATGCCATGTCCAAAGAAATGCACGGCCCGGCGCAGAAAGGAAACGAAATGAAAAGACGAGGCAGCCTAGGCTTCAGAAAGATGAGGCAGGCAGGCAGGCAGGCAGGCGAAGGACGGAAAGGTCGATGGAAACGTCGTCGCCCCGAATGGAATGGTATGGAAGCGATCGATGGAGTCCACGAAGGAGCCGGCCTGCGGATCCATTCTCGTGGACGCCAGAGAGAGGAGTTGAACGATTCTTCCATTCGCAAAAGAGAGTCTTCCTCCAGCGTCCTCCTGCCAGAGCCAGAGCCAGAGCCGGAGCCAGAGAGATCGGGTTGGGTAGAAAGTGAGGCCGGGGTAGGGGGTGAAGTTAAAATTCGACCAATGGCGAGCGGAGGTGTTGAGGGCCATCAGGGGCGGACAAGGAACATCACGTGGACACGAGGGTAGGGCCACCAATGACGGCGAGGGGACGAGCGGATTTCGCAAATCTAAGTAACGGCGCTCTGGTCCTCCTAATTGAGGCCGTTTGCGCATTTACGACGCGATGTTCGATTCGACCCTCAGACACTCGCATCCCGCTGCATGACATCTGGTGCGACAGCGGCGCTCGCAAAAGGTCCCCGCCGGAGGCACCCTCCCATGCCCGCTCGGCAGCTACGGCCCTTCCACTGCTACTTCTACGATTCCCGATACGGTCGTCGGAGATGTCCCGCATCGTGAATCAGGAACGAACGAAGGTAAATCGGGGTTCACCTCCGGGTCTCGCAACTTTCCGAGCACAAACAGCAAGAGCAGCAGGGCAGCAGCCAGACAGACAACCAAAGCGACAGACAGACAGACAGTGTATGAGACAACAACGAAATTAACAAGCGAACGACGCAATCTACTATACCCTCCCTTCCTGATCGCGCTAGATTTTTTCTCCACTGCGCTTTCGAGAATGATTGAGGATTTTGCCTCTGCAACCCGCACACCGCACACCGCACACCGCACCACGCCCCATGCCATGCCATGCCGTGCCATGCCTTGTGCATCTCGGAGGTTTTTCTCGCGGAGACCTATCGGTCCATCTCATGGGCGTCTGTCTTTTCTCGCTCGACGAAATACGACTCGCCGAAGGACGCAGGGCCCCCGGGGCCAGCAAGTACCAACCGTTATGGGATCGAGCATCTTCTTTGATCCATGCTGTCGTCGGTGGTAGCGAGATCGAGCTCACCAGCATTATTTCGCTTCGGACCCGCAACGACGCCAAGCCAACTCTCCTCCGTTTCGTGTACCGCTTTTGTGCTGTACCGGAGCGTACAATGCTCCATCCGTGCCCTTGTCTCGCTGGAATGGAAAGACAGCGAGACGTGATCGATTTGAGTTGACGTCAAGTGCTGGAAGTGGGACACACATCACGCCATTTCCCCCCCTTTCCTACCATTGCTGCTCGAGGGTTGTTCCAGGAAACTCGAGCCTTGCGCGATGTCTGTGTTCGGTGTTTCTCCTCACTTTCTTCGAGTCCTAGTCTTCTCGAGCATTGAGAACTGAAGCCTGTGAAACTGCCATGGATGGCTATACTACGGTATGGCCCGGTCCGTTGGGCTGTACCAGACTCGAAGAACTGTGGTCCACAGCCCCTTGTGCAGATTCCGCCCCCATTGACCTTTTGGGCACAGGGGAAGCATAGAGGAACTTTTGGGACAACTACCAATACTTCTCCTGCAGAGCCCAACATTGGGTGCCCATCCCCATGCCCATGCCCATGGTTTTTGGGTGGGTTTTGGGTGACATTATTTTTCTATGGGTGGGCACAAGTAATGCTAAGGGGCAGTATTTGTCAAGATCGAGCCAGGAATTGGCGTAATTTGTATAGCATGGGTGGGCATGAGTCGCTGCTGATGGTTATGGTCCGGTCTGGGTGCAGATTTGAAGTAAAATGGTGGCCTCTGTTCTACTGCTATGTCACACAGCAGTAGAACAGAGGCCACCATTAGAACAGCTCGGTAGCCGTGGATGGATTTTTGTGCTCATTTGACAGGATTACATTCTCGAAGCATGCATCAAGGTCAGCAAGATGTTGCTCATTCGCCGCTTTCCTCGCTGGTTTCCCGGTCATGTCTCAGGCTCATGACATTGTGCATCGATGCTGATCCGGAGTCCCACTTTCGAACCAAACATACTCCCTTGCGGTCTGAAAAAAGGAGCGACCCAAATTGCATTTGACACACCTTTCAAGAAGAATGTGTTTCTTTCTCGCACTTATTTCAAGGCCATGTTTTCGTCATTTTGTTTTAGAGCAGTTGGCTGGTCTCGACTCTCGAGCGCGCTTGCGCAGGCTGCAGAAGGATCAACGCAAATCCGTCGCCCGGGGACGAAATGATTCAAATGACAAGGCCAATGATTTAAAATGCCTTCTTGCATCACTTGCCCCGTCGCTCGTAGGAGACGATCTTCGGTGAGTTGATTTAATCTCGAACCGGTCACCTGCTCCCTGCAGACATCAAAGAAAGGAATTAAGTCTCTCTCTCTCCGCATCACGTAGCGACGTCGTTCTTGTGGTTCACAACTTCAGTCGGTTCATGAACCACATTTCCTCTGGTGGGGGCCAATCAGCATTCAAAGAACGGAATCAACATGACTTTGTTCCACGGCTTGTCCATCTTTCCGATCCGACTTACCCCACGTCAACGAAAGATATTCCCTCCACCCCGCCAGCTTCTGAGACCGAATGGAAGCGGAACACCGTTCACCATGCACACATTCTGGTAATAAGGAAAATCTAATGTCAATGATTGAAGGTGCATGTTAAAGTTTGACGAAAGAAGACTGTAGCAAGACAAAGCGAACCTGAATGCATGCTACCGATCTTGGTAAGGAATGTCAATCACATCAATCCAAGACAATGCAGTACAATATTAGTGTTAAACAGAATGTCAGTAATCTTCTCCTACGACTCGTGCTACGGTACTATTTTCGGAATTTCTGCACACCGGTGTCTAATTTTCTTTCTTGTTTATTCATTCTTCGAATAAGATACCCTCGAAATTTCATCACTTCTTTAAAGCGATGGCGTTTATCCTTCCATCACGATTCGGGCCAGAATATTCTGGTCGATGAGACCTACATCGCTGGCCAAGGCCACAATCTAGCAGAGAGAAAACAGGACAAGAGAACATCGCGAGTCGAACTGGTTATCTACGCCATTTACCCACGAACTTTCAGGGGACTGACGGTTCATTCTCCCGGCATCACGAGCTTCGGAGTATGGTGACAATCGCCCAGATTCATGCAGGCGACATGAGTAACCAAACTGTGAATCTTGGGGTGAGCCAGGGCTTGGCCGGCGTAATTGTCCGCCCACGAGACGGATCGTGATCTTTCAAACCTTTTGTACACGGACTTTGAGCAGAGAGATTCTCAGAGATCAAGGCCGGTGGATAAAATGCGCAGGGCTGGCATATATACAAGGCGGCACATCATATCGGGATCTAAGGTCCGAGAGGACGAAGGGTGTTGCCGTCGTTCATTCTAAAATAGTCTTGCGAGCCCATGAGCAGCCACCACTTTGGCTCGTGAACAATACCTTTTAGCTCCGCAGTATGTACGAAGCATGAAGGCGAGAGATTACTTGAACGCATCGTCGTGGTGACATGCACCTATGCGTGGAGGAATGTGCCGCGGATTCGTCCTATTTTTGAGACGTCCAATGAAAACCACCAACCCTCCACTCGACGTCAAGTATAACAAGATCAGGCCCGAGCTTTAGAGCCCCGCCTAAATGTTCATTCGGTTGACCTTACACCTGGTGGGCGGCCTTTTCGAATGTATGGAGAAAATCATGAACGTACGGTGGCATCTGCAAATTGACATGTGTACCGCCAATAAGGTATCGAATTCATTCAAGTGTAGCCTACGGAGAGAAGAAGTTGGGACTCTTTAACTGTCCAAGGAACCGCGAGTCAGCGATTCGGTCTCCTCGATCTTTGATGAGGATAAAGGCAACTGCGGGTGGCGACCCGAAAATGGAGACAACGCAAACGATCTACGGATATGATATGTGATGCCTCCCCCGGTAATTCTGACTAGCGGGCAGGAAAAGAATTCCACGGCATAGCATTAGAAAGATTGTAGATCGAGTGAAGCCACTGAAGAGAGAGAGAGAGCGAGAGAGGACATGATTTAACATGGGAAGGGGAAGATCGTGACACTGTATTGGCCGACCATGCGGCTCGGTTCATCTGAGCAGGAGATAATGGATGTACTGGCGGCAGGAGAAGGAGCTGGTGAAAGAGGGGAGGACCTAGCTTATGTCAAGACGAGACCTGATAATCCATTCGCCTACGGAGAGCCCGAACGAATCATGACTTCCTCTCGCAGACGCGCACACACTTAGATCCCTCTTGCTCGGTGCGAGGGAGGGATTAGTAGAGGATAACCGAGTCCACTTACGAGAGACCAGAGACAAAGCATGTCAGACACTGGCATGCCGCCCCTGGCACAACAACAAGGTGTAAAGGTACTGATGCAACCGCAGGAGCCCCAACACAGAAGACTACCCGAGCCCGAAAAGGTGCTCGTTGCATCGGACGTAGACGGACAAAAGAGGGAGCGCGGTGCAGGCTCCCTTGCGCGCTCTGGAAAGCTGGAACAGTCCGGTCCCGTCCGGCAGCAGCAGCTGGCCAGTGTGCTCCCGGCTCCAGATCCACAGTCAGATTAGAGAACTGACACTACTCGTTAGCGGGGAATTCGAGTGGACGCCCGGGCGACCAAAGAGCCCGAGAAAGGAAAGAGTTTGCGGTCCGCCGAAGAAAATGCGCAAGAATCGATTGGAAGGCGATTTAAAGCGGACTCCGAGGAGCCGAGGTCTGCTCGGGCAGTGGCGAATGCAAGGCTCGGGAGGGGGAGGGATGATGACTTGTGGGGCGAGCCGTGTTGTCCGTGGGACTTGATTGAGAGTTCTGGGCCTACAGCAATAGCTCTCGCACGCGCGATGCATGGCCTTGCCATCTCCTGAGAGTATCCGGGAATGGAAAAGGCCGGGCGGGGATATGGATTCGGATCGGACGGCCGGCCAGGCTCTGCAAAGGGATCGACAGGCTCTGACAGTGGGGGCAAGAATCAGAGCAACTGGTTGCAGTAGGCGCTATGCAATGCATCGCACATGAAAATGATGGTATCGAATCCTTCGCTTTAACGCATGCTTTCCTGACGTCTCCTTCCAATCCCTCCATGAATTTCTACTTCCTCTTCTTCTTCTTCTTCTTCTCTCTCTACCAGAGCGCCTCCGTTCCTGGCGATTCATCCTTCGCGGCGGAGATTTATCACGCACTCGCTTAAACCATCGCGGGATGGATATCATCGGCCACAGCTCAGTATAATACAATATAGTACCACAGGAGCAGAGCAGGTCGGGTCATGGCAGGGCCGGGCCGGGCAGAGCATTGCAGGAGGAGGATGGAAGGAGAAGGGCGGACGGGCGGGCGGACGAGTGTGAGGACGTGAAGGTGCTATCGGGCAATGCTATCAAGTAGCGTAACCGTGGATGGTACGCAGCCGTTACCATAAGTTGCGGCTTTCTCGACGTGCGCCTTTAATGGAATCAGGGGCCCACTGTCCTGCCCGCGCCCCCACCGTCCCTCCTCCCTCCCTCTCCCTCTCCTCTCTCCCTCCCTTACTCTTCCCGCGCGGCGCCCCTCACCCGTCCGTCCGTCCGTCCGTCCGTCTTCTGCGTTCTCCCACCTCCACTCGGTTTGCCGACCGACGGGGAGGGAGGGACAAAGAGGAGGAACACCGGAACACGTCATCCGTCCATTTATCCATCCATCCGTCGCGGCCGTCCCCGTCGGTCTCCGATGGTGAATGGTAAAACAACTTAGCGGCTCGTTCGCTCAGTGCACATGACCGGACTTTTCGCTGGGGCGAGCGCTTGTTATTAGCTGGCTGCAGGGCACGGAGGTTTGGCACGGGGTCCGTCTTCTCGTAAGAAAGGCAGACTGGAGAGGGTCGAGGGAGTTTGTGCGGCCAGACTGGCCGCGAGTGGCCACAGAGGGAGAGAGAAAAAGTGAGAGAAAAGAGAGAGGAGAGAGAGAGAGAGAAAGAGAGGCGGATCGAGTGTTTTGGGATGAAGAGTGGAATGTGGAGTGATGGTCTCGATATGAGAGGATGATATGAAGCTTTTGGGAGAATCGGATGAAATTGTTACTGTTGCTCCTTGCCGCTGTAATCATCTGCGGTCTGACCTTTTGCTGATGTAGCTTCACGACACTTTTACTCATCATCGCGGACTTCTAGCCAGTTGGCATTAATTTAGACATGCGTTTTCGTCCACTTGGTCTCGTTGGATGAAACACCTGCAGCTTTCAGCGAGGAATTTCACCTTCATTTCCTCGTCGCTTTTTCCTCCTCTGCGTTTCTTTTTCATCCGTGTCCCTCTGCCGTCCTTGTTCTCGCCCTCGCAGCACCAGATGCAGTGGGGCACTTTCTCGTCTCGATCGGGAACTCTGGCTAAATGGTATAATTTGATCCATCCAAGATGTAAGACTTCGGACGACTGGAACCGCTTGAAGCTTACAATAAAGAGGACGAGAGTTTGGGGAAAGTCAAATGGCGCTAGGACAAGGTAAAGAGGAAAAGCATAGGCGGTTGACAAAAGTCCATCATGAAAAACAAAAGCAGTAAAACACGGATGCGCTAGGCCCCAGCACTGATGAACCAAATACAGCGCAACACGGTCTAACAATCCCTTCAATTGCGCCAGACATCCGCAAGGATTCCAGGCCTCTAAACCTAACTTTGAAACCTGCCTTTGTTTGCAGTATCAAGTGGGATCGAAGACGGACTCTTCCTTGATGTTTGTCCATGTTAGAAGGCGGCGGAAGGCAGGGAGATCATTCCCAAAACCCCTGCTTCTTCTCCCTCCTCCTCGTCTGCTTCCACAACCCTGCACCGACAAACATGACATGGTTGACGCCCATCCTTCCTCGACCAGTGTTGTTCACAGCAGACCCACAATCCTTATCCTCTGCGGAAGATGATCCTTCGGAAAGACATAAGGATACAGCGTTCGCCGGACATCTTTTTCCATACCTGAACGTTTTGTCTGTAATCCGAGTTCTAACCAGGCTCTAACCTTTAGGCAGGAACCGTATCTTTTACCAAGGCTCCTGAAATGAGGATTGATGATAGTTCTTTTATATGGCCCCATAAGCAAACCCTCAACTTGTTGTTCTATGACCGAATGTGCATTATATATGCTTCTGTTCGACTCTTAAAGTGTGAGAATATCCTCATCATTCTTTGAAATGTGGCATCACCGGTCCCTCGCGGCGGTTGTGTCGCTTCGCACTCCTTTGCTTGTATGACTCACTTCGCAAACCATGAGGTCGAGCTTATTCGGGAGAGGAAGAATGTAGGGATTGCATAGAGGAGGGACGAGCGCTTGTTTTCTGCTGACTTAGCGAAAAATTTTTTATGGCGGTATTACGCAAGTTTCTGATGTTTTTCTGAGTAAGGATATAGTACGACCCAACTCTTTTGGCAGATCTTTGAAAAAAGGATGGGAAGGAGAAGAAGAACAGCGACGGAATTCGAGTAGAGTGAGACTCGCTCTTTCCTGCTGGGCCATGTCGATAACGATCCCGAAGGATACGATGAGGAAACGCGCCGCAACTAGGTGAAGATTCATGTTCCTCCTGATATTCCACATAGGTAGCTTAACAGAAAACCCTTGGATAGGTATTGTGCGTTGGGATCAACAACCCATGAGTGATAATAACGCCTGGAACCTAAGGAGTGGATTCTCTATCATGTGATTAAACCAACACCTTCTTGTACTTTTACCGGAAATTTATAGAAATTGATTATTGTCCTCCTCCTCAGTGGCGCTAAAAAGAGGTTGGTAATAGTAGACCAATGTGTTCCTGGCCATACAGTCTGCGCGGTGTTCCTCCTAATCCTCGTACACGATAGAGGTTTAGAATTATAGAGGATGTTGTTGGGGGTGGTCATACATATCGTGTGATTGACTAGTCGTAAAACAAGTACTTGAGAGAGATGTAGAGAGAGAGAGAAAGAGGTACCAGTGGACCGGATTGGATATGCGTGTCATCAACTGTAAACTCTAATCTGATGACAGAAGGCCGATTGACCGGCGCACAACCTGATATTTTATGAGTGCCAAGTGTCAGCACAAGCAATCATAATCATAATGTGATCCGTTTCATCATTATGCTTGTTCTGACCCCGTCGTCGTCTACGGTGGTGGTGGTGGTGGTGGTATTGCTGTCAGAGGACAACACCAATCGACAATCACATTACCAATTTAGAATTCATTAACCAGCAAACCAATTCTAACTATAATCATGGACTAATTTTGAACCCTGACTGTCGAATTGTCTCCCCTTCATTCGAGTTCCAGTTCGCTTGACTGGGGCCTGGACTGGAGACTGGTGCTGGACAGGACTGGATAGCGTGAACTTCTCTGGGAGTTCTGGTTCGAACCAGCCCCGCCCGGTGCTCGCCGAGTTTCTGGGTGCTCCCTACTAGGGATCCAAAAGGAATGTATAATTTGCTCCATCTTCCGCCCCATGGTCCAGGGATGTTTCTTCCAAGAATGCCGAGAAAGGGAGGAATCAACTGTTCCCGCCAATAACACCCCTGGGGTGTAGAGTCAACCAGAGAAAGAAAGGGAGTAGCAGAAGCATGAGGAGGCGAGAGAGAGGCGGGGGCGAGAGACAGTAAAGAAAATTGGAGGAACAAAGAACCACGTTGGTTGGTTCCGAGAGATGGGGTCCCCTTCTTCGACAACAGTGAATCCAAATCTCCCTCAATCTGTGAGTGCAATGTACCCTGTAATATTTGGGAACCAGTGCTCTGCTGGCCGCAACAAGAGTCAAACACTGCGTAGAAGTCGCGGGTATGAAGGAAGGTCTACCCCACCACCACTATCAGCATCTCCTCCTCCACCACCGCCACTTCTTCTTCGCTCCACTCTCTGTTTCCTCTCTTTGTTCGACTGAATCTTCTCCTTCCTTCCCTCCCTTCTTCCCCCCTCAACACCTCCGTCCTCCTCTGCGACCTCTACAGTGATATGGTCACCACTATTCTGATAAGGAGAGCGAGCAAGTCCGCCACAATGTAATGTACTTCTGGCAATCTCCTTGAGAGTATCCCCGGTCCTCGCGAACAGGACAAGGCTGATGCAATCAATGTACATGTTCATATTGATGTTCGATGTTCATCATGCTTGGAAAAAGTATACTGTTAGGGCTGGGCGAGTCTCCAACAGATCACGTCCACTCGATCCCAACCAAAAAGTCCTTGTTCCACTTCCCCTTACTCCGAGTCCGCATGTAGTCCCCATTTCTCATAGTCATTCACTTATTCCGCTTGCATCGACTGTGCTGCTATAGTGACTAGGATTCTATTGTCTTTGTGTTCACTTTCCCGAAGGCAGACAGGCTAGGGCAGCAGGCAGGCAGGCAGGCAGGCAGGCAAGAAAAAGCAAAAACACACACACAGTCATACTCATCCCCACACTGGTTATAGATGTAGTGCTGATTCATAAATACTGGATTGTTTGAAGGGTCCTTTCTGGCTCGATGAAGTTGACAAGGAGCTCATATGGATGTCCAGTTGACTGACGCAAATCTACCATTTTTAGCTTCGAAAAAAACATGCTTATGAGAATCAAGCCTGTGATGTGTGTGATTCATAAATATTGGGCTATTTGTGGCTCGATGAGGTTGACGAACAGTTCAGATGGATGTCCAGTTGACTGACGCAGATCTCCATTTTTAGCCTCAAAAAAACATACTTATGTGAATCAAGTCTTCGATATGTGTGAGACTCTCATCGAAACTGGTCAAAATATCTAAGGAGGTGATGTAAGGGATCGACTTTTGAAATCTTATTATGTGGTAATAGATAAAGAGGAAACGACTATTGTAAGTTCCCACTGGCCACATGGTGATGCGTCTACAAGTTGAACTTCTTTCCCTTTTCTTTCTTTGGTTCTCTTCCTCGTGAAATTTGTCCAGTCTTCTGCGTCCAAAATTTCATGATAATTCGCTATAAACCAGATTTGTGCTCGTGTGCTTTTGTGATCTCGCTATTACCATCCATAGTTTGATTTCCAATTTGAACTTCCTATTCCTGCTTTCTGGTTTGCGTCCTTCCATCGTTTTCAAACTAATCCTTTTAACTGAGTCGAGCATTTGAAGGAAGCGCATACCGAAATTAAAGTAACATCTTTAGGGCATCTAGTAACTATCTGATGCATATCGTGACACACATAATTATTTTCAATGATTATGCAAAATGATGATGATATAGATTCGTCAAGTATAGGAGTAAAATAAGTTTCAATTCCCAGACAAAATTGGAGAATTTGGTACATAAAAATATCAAAGTAAACTAGATAGTGATGGTTGAAGTCCTCTCTTATAGTGGCTTGTCACGTAATCAGACACCGGTAATTCATATGGTAAAACTAACAAAGAAATTTGTGTTGAAAATATGGCTTTCATGCGTTCAATTTATGGAACTTCGAAGTCATTGAGTGGGGGTAAATAATTCATCTTCAATGACATGATTAAACCGGAATAAGAATCTTGATTACATTTGTGTACAATTCAGTCGTACTTCCTCATTTTCCATGTCTTCCATCCATGGATGGGTATATAGTACTATATTGGCGCTAACCATGTAGGAAGGGAACCATTTCACCCACTAATTATGTTCCTGCGCATTTGACGGGAGGTAGTAAACAGGATTATGACGCACCGAAAGTTGATCACAGAAAGCTGACAGCTATAGATAGAGAAGAGTTTGCAGTTGTCTTGAGACGAGCAGAATTGCCCTTTCAAAGGACGTGTCGATGGAGGATGCTGTTCTTGCAACTGTCTGAAAGGTGGATATTTTTGGACTTGGCTCGTGGAGTTCATGTCCTGCATTCTTATGACATAGATAGATGTTGAGAAGTGTCATAGACGAGATGTCTGGAAAATCAAAGAAACCATATTACAGTACAGGAGATGTTGCCGTCCGAAGATGTGGATGTTGATGTTGGGTCCTTACCCCCAAGAGGATAAAGGAATTTGAGGAGATCGGATAAACGTATCCATCATCAATCCGATGCTCCTAGTGCGCGGGAAAGCCAGTGTCGATCCAGACGAGAGGTTTAGGCATATGTGTCACGAAGAAGAAACCCGCGGGGGGGAATTTTGGGGGAACTCCTCGGCTTGCCACCTATCTACTCACAGATGCAGATGCGCTGACTAAAAGAACCTCATGCAGAACATATCCAATATTATACAATACATCTGCAGGTGCGAGGGATCATACTGCGCTGACCTACTTACTTTCACGATTTACGGCAGGGACGGCGAGCTAGGGATGTTGCGCAGCGCGAGGGAAGAGGAGGGTAGGGCTCTCCTCTGGTGGGGGAGGTGGCGGATATATTATGAAATGCGCTGTGAGGTTTTGGACTCCAACTAGACAGTGCCGAGGGCAGAGCAATCTAGATAGATGTCTCGTGAATGCTGCCGCCTTTACAAAGAAGTAGCCAGTTGAAAGAGTCAAGTCAATCGGGTGCTTCGTCCTTCACATTCTCGCCTCTATCCTTCCCATCCCTCATGGTTAGCTGTTGCACAGTGGTGAATGAATGACTTTCTTCGAAGGGGAGTGATGGTGCTCTTGTCAGATGCGATGCGAGGTCGTCTTTGTCTTGGTATGAGCGACGGAGGGGAATCTTACTCGCTCACATCTATCAACTTCCATCCGAACAGGAAGTAAGGAAGTAAGGAAGTAAGGAAAGAAGGGAGGGAGGGAGGGACGAAGGAAGCAGGAGGATGAGGAGGAGGTGGAGCACCGACATGCAGCACTAGGCACAGCGACCGCTGCTGCTCCCCGTATGTGAACAAAATATACCAGACCAAACAGAGCACGCAAGCCCAACTGGACGATCCGAAAGGAGAAGGGCAGAATTCCGGCCGGGGGAAAGCGCAGGCAGCAAAGGGCGAAGAGGTGGAGCGAGCGGGGGATGAGGAGGAGGAGCCATGAGCCCACAGACTCCTTGATCCACATGGGGAATCATGGGGCCGAAAGGATTGAGATGAGACGAGACGGGAAATCATGGAAGTGAAGTGCGGTGCGGTGCGGTGGGGTATGCGATGCGATGCGATGCGATGCAGGTGATGACGGGTATGGCGCATAGCGGGCACATTCATTCATTGAGTCCTTCGTTGGTTCGTCCATCATTGAGGATGAGCATCGCGCCATCGGCTGAGCACTTTAGAGGCGATGACAGGCGCGGGACTAAATTTGGGAAAAGCAGGGCCCGATCTTCTTGTTTCTGCTGCCCTATGTGCGAGAAGAGTCGTGCACCAATATAATCTTCTTAAATATTCCTCCATAAATAACCCGAGGCCAACCTGCCCGGTATCAATACCTTGTACAAGGGGCCAAACAGTCTCCCTCCCCTCGCGTCCTCCATCGCCCGAGGCATCCAATGGCAGCGCCCCCCTTCTTTTCGCTATCGTCCAGTCCACATTTCGCCCTCACCTACTGTAGAACGCCCTGCGTACAGTACAGGTACCCCATACCCGCACCACCCCTCTGCCCTGCCCTGCCCGCGCTCGCGCTCGCTTATCTCTCCGCCCCGCGCCCCCATCAGCACACTGTTTGACCCGCCTGACCAACTGACCTCAGCGACACTCTCATAGGCCCCAAATATAGCCACCTGTTGGTTTACCAGGACCCGGGACTCCGCAAGGGACGGGACGGAGGGTCGGACGCTTGGATTCGGCAACTTCGGGGTTAGATCCCGTCCCCGGGAGGACGATGCGACGGGCGTCGGCCGGCGTCGCCGAGTGTTGATCCGGGGCTCGCCGGTGGAGTTGAACGGTAAAATCTATTACGGCGGAGGCGGATGTCGGGTATTGTGGGTAACAACTGTCCCATTCTGTCCTTTTGCCGATTCCGACGGGGCCGACAGAAAGCTCGACGGACGACGACGACGTCGGAACGGAACGGATTGAAGGCGACACCCGGGCATGGGCGAGGTGAGGGCCCCCTACACGTGATGGCTGGTCCATCATATCATCCGCTTTGCTCATCATGGTGCCCTGGCAGCAAGGCCAGGCCAGCGCAGATGGAGGAGCCGGAGAAGAACCACAAGCAGAAGCAGAAGAAGCTGGAACTCGCAAGCTCGACGTGGCTGCCGCTGCTGTGTACTACGGTACTGTAGTAACTAGGGTTGAGTTGGTGGGAGGGAACCAAAAGACACAAAAAGGAAAGAAAAGGCGAGGATTAATTCGACAGTCGCGACCCGCGAGCAGCATTTGTACCGGACGGAAGGACGAGTAAGAGTCGGAGGAATGATATTATCCGAAAGATCCATACTTCGAACGGGGGTTGGAAGGCTAAAACGGGTCAGTGGTTGTCTGCTGCGGGGCCCACCGCGCGCAAGGCTGCGCCCTCTAGGCCCTCAGGAAATCCACATCCGCCAGAGCGCGGCCGAGCGTTCAGAGTTCCGAGCATTGGCATCCGTCTTGTCCTCCACTCGCGTGGAAGGGAACACGCTCCGGCCAGGGAAGCAATGGCCGGGTACCACGTCAGCCGATGGTTCGGGCAGTGCGGCCACTGCCGTCGTCACACGTGTCGTGACGTTTGGCCAATCTCCATCACACGTCAACATGGCTGGAGCTTTGACCGAGCGCGCCGGTAAATGGCCCGCATACCCTGAGTAAAAGCGGACAGTAGCTTGTACAGGCCGGATGAAAACATCATACACCGGAGGTTTACCGGGCCCTGTCTACGCGAAACGTGGCTGTTACCAGACCTTGTCTGGTAAAACATAGGCACCAGTGATTATACCTCGGTCCCGTGGAGACTAGGTCTCGCCCTGCCTACTCTTGCGGATGGCTCGCCTCGCCGCCTTTCGGAGAATATTTTAATTTCGGAAAATGCCCCATTTTCTGCGCTCCCATTGGCAGCCAGGACGCGAAAAGAAGAGCCAAAGATTTGATCGCCTGCTCCTTCGCGTTCGCGTTCTCGCCCTCGCCCGAGACCGCAGGAATGAAACGGGAGCGGATGCGCAGCTCAGCAGGACTCGGGCCGGAAGGAAGGACGAGGGGACGGAAAGCAGAGCCCAGGAAAGAAGGAAAGGAAGGCAAGACAAGGGAAAGGAAAGGAAAGGAAAGGAAAGGAAAGGAAAGGAAGGAAGGAAGGAAGGAAAGGAAAGGAAAGGAAGGAAGGAATGGATGGGAAGGTCGAAGAAATGAAAGGAAAGGAAAGCAGAGCGTAGGTCAGAAGGGCCGTCGCTCATGAGCAGCAGCAGCACAGATCCCAGACAGCCAGACAGACAGGCAGCAGAGGAGGCAGCAGCAGCAGCAGCCAAGGCCGAGGCCGAGGCCGAGCAGCACGAGGAGGAAGGAAGAAGGCAATAGTCGCAAGACCCGCCAGGCCGACGCCCAGAGAAAGGAGGAGGGAGACGGAGAGAGAAAGACAGAGCGTGGAGAGGAGAGGAGAGGAGAGCGAGGAGGGGGGAACGAGAAAAATATCACACCACAGAAGGAGAAGAGAGCAGAGAGAGAGAGAGAGAGAGAGAGAGAGGAGGAGAACAGAAGGGACAGGCAGGCAAGCAAGCACAGGTAGGCAGGCAGACAGAGGGCTGTTCGAGAAAAGGACGCAAGAGGAGTGAGAGAGAGAGAGAGAGAGAGAGAGAGAGAGGGGGTCGCTAGGCCGTGGAGGAGGAGAATTCCATTCTATTCCATTCCTTTCCATTCCATTCCAGTGCGTCAATACACTGCACACTAGCACCATCCATCTGCTCGCACTACCACAGCATCTGGAGCGGAGAGATCTGGCAGGCGCTGCTAGCAGACTCGCTGCTCTTCATCGCCGCTGGCTGCTTCGGCTGGGCTCGAGCGTTTATTTTTTGTTATCTGGTGTAGTGGTCACATCTTGAGGCTGGTGTTCATATCGGGGCGCGGAGGCTGTACACACCATTCGGTCACACTAGGTTGGGTAGGAAGCAAGGCAGGCCAGGCAGCAGGGACGATTGGGAATTGGAGGTGTGGTCTATCGCTAGACTAGAAAACGTTTTTGTGATTTATCAACCAGCACGGACTGTTGTTCGAGGGGGGCCCGCCCCGCGGAGCGAGCGAGCAAGAGAGAGGGAGGGAGGGAGGGAGGGAGGGAGGGAAGGAAGGAGGCGGAGGAGGAGGAAGGGGAGGAGGAGGTTGAGGCTGATTGAGGTTGGCCGTCTGGGTCCGGCAGTTCGGTAGGGGAAAGTGGGAGGAGGACGAAACGTCGGGAAAGGACTGCGGTGCGGTTGTCGTTCGACATCGAGATTTTTCTCCCTTCGGTATTTTTAGTGGAGGCCTCGCCTTCGAGATGAAAAGGAGGACTTCGACGCGCGCGCCGAGTGACGCCTGAGCATCAGATTAGCAGCCGGACTTATTTTCACAGGGTTGCATGGTGGATGTAGCTTGTGTGTGTTAGATTTCTGCGGTGAGAACGAGATTACAGGCTGGACTGATCCTCTCCAATGCGCTGAGATCAATTGCATACGTTCAAACATGCTCGATTCCTGAACACGTTCTCACTACCCGGGGCTTCCAGCGAATGTTGTCGTCATTTCAAGAGGCCTAGGAAGGGGTTCAGCTGTCGCCTTTTGATGGTGCAGTGTTTCGAAGCTTTGGACTAAACCGCGCAGGGAGGAGTGCCAATGAAGAGGTTCTCTTGACTGCAATGTAAAAAGAGGCACGGTCCTAAGAAGCTTCTAGCTGCAGCAGGGATGGGGCGCTGGAAAGGCATGCATAGGAGTGAATATCGCAGATGGAACTTCACTGACATGAGCTCTCCAGTCTCTCTCTGTATATGAGGGAGGTGCTGGTTTGAGCTGTGCAATCTCGGTCGCGTCCGCCATAGAACGATTGCCCTCGGTTCTTTATGTATTCTTGTTCGCCGATGAGGCTGTCTGCCTCTGGATATGCGCAACATCAAACAATGACAGGTAAACTCTCCATTCCTCGGACTAGGTTCCTCCTTCTCTCTGAGTCCTTGGCTGCTGCTCGGCACTCACCACAATGTGATGAGGGACACGCTCTTCAGCTCCGCCGGAACTATGATGATTTATTCGTGGGCTGGAGCTCGCGCGCTCCTGCTCTCATGCAAGCTCACTTTCGCTCAGTCGGCCGGGAAATAGCAGACAGCCTGCAGGGATGATTTTCGGTGCGCCCAATCCTCTGCCGAGCTCCTCGCGACAGCCCTGAGGAGTGTCTCGTATGATTAGACTCGGCTCTTGCATGCCACCCTCACGCCGATTGGCAGAATGTTTGAGGCCATCTAGATAGTGCAGGCTACGCCATGCGACCGTACATAACTCAGGAGCCTTGACAAATCCAATCATGAGAGGTCGGCCGCAATGACACCGTGTAACGACCCTGTGAGCCTCGGCCGACGTTCACGTTCCCGCATTCATGATATGCAAAGGCCGGTGAAGACGATTTGAAGGACAGGAATACTCTGAAGGCTAGGAAGCTGTAAGTCAACCTGCAGTATTAGACGGGATGGAATCAGACGCCATCCCGAAGACTGAAGGCCAAGCGATGGGTAATTAGTTTCTTATCTGCGCCGCCGGAATCGAATCGCGCCGCATGATGAGTTTCTTAGGCCGACCGCAGGAAGGAAGATTTGTGAAGTTCACATTCTGGCCAACCTGGTGACAGCGGCGGCGTGGACGCCACACGGTGAAGCCACCATTTGTATTCATGGATGTTCGCGTGCTCTCGGAGGCGCCTCCGCTGGTCTCATCTTACACCGCGGGCGTCCCCTCTAGCTGACTACTATCGTTCAGGGACACAGCATTTACAGGGTCTCTTTTCTAGAATCGTTATGGATGTATGAAGGCCTGAAACTGGCGGGGGATCGTGCTCCAGCTCGACGCGGTGTAGGACGAAAGTGAGAGATATGTCGCACTCAATTGCCCTCTGACGAGGACATGGGTGGTCGTACGGACTAGGAGAATGTCTTTTTTTCTGCACGGGCCCTTGCCCTGTGTTCTTGGTTAGAGTTGGCTGACGACGAGATTTACCTGCCCTCCAGCGTCTTGGTTCCAATGCTTATCCCTTTCCCAAGATCCTGCTTGGATCACGTGCAAGACTTCATGTTAAGGAGCATAAGCCTCTTCAGCCTAAGCCATCCGAGTTTCTCGGAACATGAACATGGACGTTGTTGGACTTTCCAAGCTGTGTGCCGTGCATCTGTGGTGCCTTTTGCCTTTTGTATCTTACGATTCCAGCTTTGGTATCCAACCCTGGAAGTGGTGAAATTGATCTCAGCTTCCTCCTTTCGTATGGGTGCAGGTGAACAGCGAAGTCTTAACTCTGAGCTATGGCATGCATGTGCGGGTCCTCTTGTGTCTGTGCCTCCCGTGGGCAGCCGCGTGGTCTACTTTCCTCAGGGTCATAGCGAGCAGGTGCGTTTCCCAACTTTTAGACATCGGTTGGTTGGCTCTCATCTTTTAGTCAGACACACCTGATATCAACTTAGTTTCCGAGTCTTGAAGGTGGCTTACACGAGTTGGCGATATGGTTTCCAATTTATCTGACCCTTGTGTTGTTTTTCGTTGTTGCTGTGGATTTATTCGAGAGATGCTAGTTTACGAAATCATTCCAATGGTATGTCCAGGTGGCTGCATCAACCCAAAAGGAGGCCGATGTGCATATACCCAGCTATCCCAGTCTCCCATCGCGGTTGATCTGTTTGCTCGACAATGTTACCCTCCATGTAAGTGCCGTCCACGGTGTGTTTGGCCTTGTGCAAAGGATATAGTTCACATTTATTCAATCTTTCTCATCTCTCTAACGTTTTGCCTTCATTCCTGTGCAGGCGGATATGGAGACGGATGAAGTTTACACCCGGATGACACTGCTACCTATGAGTGGGGTAAGTTCTGTTGTTCCTATTGGAAACAGTTTCTTTGGGTTTCAACCTTTGCCACGCAACTTTTCAACGCGTGAGGGTTCGATATGTTTTCTCATGCTCGGGCAAGCATTTAAACCAGACGTTTAAAGTCGTCTTGCACCTTGTGCAGAGTCCGGAGAAGGAACTTGTGATCGTGCCTGACATCACAAGGGACACCAAACAACCTACAGATTTTTTCTGCAAAACATTGACAGCAAGTGATACTAGTACTCATGGTGGCTTTTCAATTCCCCGCCGTGCCGCAGAGAAAGTCTTTCCACCCCTGGTACTCATCCTCCTCATTTTTTCAAGTTGCTCTCGTCCATTGTATTTCGCTCACTGAGATATCGCTTCCTCGTCTATGTCAGCAGATGCACTGTCAAGCTGAAACTTTTGAATGTAAATACTAAGTCTGCTCCCACGGCTATTGTACAGGACTACTCCCAACAACCTCCAGCCCATCCTGCCCAGGAGCTTGTCGCAAGAGACCTTCATGATCAGGAGTGGCACTTCCGGCACATCTACAGAGGTATTCAAGATCATTCTATTGGCAGTTGACGAGTAGTAGCTGTCGTAACAAATTTGTCTTTATTTGATATAGTTTAGAGGTCCAGTTGAGTGACATAATTCTCTTCATCTTCATCTTCTCTTTATTTTCTAATATATTTGTCATTCATTCTGGCACAGGTCAACCTCGTAGACATCTTCTCACAACTGGATGGAGTGTTTTTGTTAGTGCTAAGAGACTCCAGGCTGGTGATTCTGTTCTTTTTATCAGGTAAAGATTTTAGATAGCAGACATGAATGCTTGCGTTCTTTTCCTGAATGATTCCGTGTATCATTTGGCAGAATGAGTGTGGCCAATTCTCATTCACCTTTTGTAAGAGTGAGATTGAGAAGTGAGCTTATTGATTTAAACTCCTTCCCTGTATCTGCCCGAGTCAAGACTACAACCATGCATAACCACCTAATCGTCCGATTGTTGTTTTGTTGCATCATTAGAGATGACAAGGGACAGCTTCTTCTAGGCATAAGGCGTGCTAACAGGCAGCAGACAGCAATGCCTTCCTCAGTGCTCACGAGTGACAGCATGCATATTGGTGTTCTTGCGGCCGCTAACCATGCAGCCGCCACCAATAGCAGATTCACTATCTTTTACAATCCCAGGTATACATGTCACTTTTGATTTGATGTGAATGTTTGCCATGTTCGTTTCAATATCCGTTCAAATCTCTGACGGTGTCAGTCAAAATTGTTTGTTGCTAGTGCTTAATTGTTTCGCTCTGCTTACTTCATTTACAAACATTCGTAGACTTACATCCCAATGTCTCTTTGCAGGGCAAGCCCATCTGAGTTCGTAATCCCTCTTGCTAAGTACAATAAAGCTATCTACCACACCCAGGTTTCTGTCGGGATGCGTTTCAGGATGGTATTTGAAACAGAGGAATCAGGTGTGCGAAGGTAAGATCCTGCTGAGAACTTTCTACATTGTCACATATCGTACGAGAATCAACCGAGGATATAACATGCGGTTCATTTTAGAGGCCAACCCGCCGAAATCTATTGATAGGGGAGTCGAAGTTTCAATTTCTTGCTGAAGGCATGACATGCCGGTATATCTGGTTAACCAGTTGGTGGTTTCACGGGCAGTCAAGAGCCTTTTCTTTTGCATGTTCTCTCTTGTCCGGGTCTTATCTCGGATAGTTGAGTTAATGCAAATCAAAATCTTAACAACCTCTTTACGAAGGCAAGGCCCATCTATTTATTCCGAAAATACTGGTCGTTTACAGATACATGGGAACTATTACTGGTATCGGCGATGTCGACCCGCTTAGATGGCCGAGCTCGCACTGGCGGTCGTTGAAGGTAAGAGTATACCTGATGGTCATTGATGTTTTAGAAGTGCTCGCTTCTCATTCAGATTGGGGTGAAGTGAATCATTTGTTTTGGGTTTGGGATGCTTCACTGACCTCTGTGTTGAGACACATAACTAATTCATTTAATTTGTAGGTTGGCTGGGATGAATCTACAGCCGGCGAGAGACAGAGGCGTGTGTCTCTGTGGGAAATTGAGCCGTTAACAACCCCTTTCCTGATCTGTCCTCCACTGACATTGAGAGCGAAGCGGCCCCGGGCGTCTTCTCGAGGCCATTCGGGTATGAGTGGTCAGTAACCCAAAATCATTTGTGTTAGCGTGAGGAAGATAATGGTTATTAAGTTGTGCTACGCTTATTTCCAGCGGAATCTTTTTCCCTTTTCTTGGATCATCTTTTCAATTTTACTTATTGTAGAGTCCTTACTTTAAGATGACTTGCGCGTATGCCTTCTCTGCACGTTGTGAGACTTTTGTTTAACACTGTCGCCTTTTTCCGGATTGTAGGTGAAGATGAGGAAGGAGATGGCTCGGTCAAGAAGTCTTCTATGTGGTTAAGAGATGACGAGAGAGACGGTCTATCGAATCTACCTTTCAGGGGCCTTGGGATGGACCCTTGGACACCCAGGTTACCACAGAGTCCAGATTCAGTAGCTCCTGGTACACCAACAGATTTTTATCGGGTCATGGCTGCGGCTGCTCTTCAAGAGATTCGCGGCAACGAGACGTCCAAGCAACTGCTTCAGCGACAACCACAGCAGTCCTTGCAGAATCATCAGATGCAATTTCGTCCCCAGCAGCAACAACCTCCTCTACAGCAACAAGAGCAGCAGCAACAACAGCAGCAACAACAGCAACAACAACAGCAGCAGCTTAATATGCAACAGCAGCAGCAACAAGTTCTGCAGTCTCCTCAGCCGTTGCCATTACCTGATGTTACTGGGCCCTTACTCCAACTTTCATCAAGCAGGCCACAATCTCCTATGCAGTTATCTACATTGCGGGCGTCATCAGGATATACGGACTCGGATGTGCACTTATCTCCTGCTTCCACTGCGTCAGGATCATTTCCTTTACAGAGTCTTCTGAGCAGGACTCAACAAGGCAGTGTACTCACCACTGAAGATACAAATCAGTTTTCAAATCTTCTCCGCAGCAATCAAAGCGCAATGCAACAAGCTACTATGCTACCTGGTTCCGCTATGGTAGGGCGGGACTCTCCTGTATCGAGTGCCTGGTATTCTATGCGGGATTCCACTACATCCGATTGCGCTCATCCAAGTTCCCGCATGGGGCGAGCAGACTCATCCCCCAGTTCTGCTCCCACATATGCTCTTTCATCCAATGAACCTTGTCAATCTGGTTTGACAGCCCTACCCATGCAGAATCCTACTTATGCAGTGTTTCGGGACAATTCACAGGAGCAAGATCAAGTACAGTCAGATCCTCGTAGTCATCTCCTTTTCGGTGTATCCATTGATCAAATGCCAAACGGAGCTGGGGGTCTGGGATCAAGGGGCTTTGGTAAGGCAAAGGATAACCAGGCGCGATTCGCTGGCGGTAGCCTACTGCCTGCTCCTTATTGCTCATCGGCGGGACAAGATCTGCCCATCAGCCCTGGCATAATATCCCATGGTAGTATAAATGATAGCCAATTTATGCAGCGGGGATTCATGGCACCCGTATCTTCTCCCCAGCGGAGCTACACAAAGGTAATTTAGAGAATGTGCAGGGTTTACATCTGCTTTGAATGCACCATCAGTGTCAAGGGTCAACCAGCATGCATTTCTAACGTTCATTTTGTACGCTCTTATGTGTTTTGTATGCTGAGAGTGCTTTAATGACTCAAGCTCTACAGCATGTCCGTAGGCGATTCTGCGTGCAACCGTTTGCGTTACTGGAGTATCACGGGCTGCTACCCTCTAGTTGATCTAATATCTGGAACCTCGTGGCAGGTCTACAAGCTTGGTTCCGTCGGGAGATCCCTAGATGTGGCCCAGTTCACCAACTATACAGATTTGCGTGTTCACCTTGCCCGCATGTTCGGACTCGAGGGGCAGCTTGAAGATCCACAAAGATCAGGCTGGCAGCTCGTGTTCGTGGACAATGAGCAAGATGTGCTTCTAGTTGGCGACGACCCCTGGGAGTAAGTTTCTAATTGTTACGACTTTTGCCCTGTAAAATATGTGGAACTATGGCATGAACTTATGGAATGAAGGTGGTCGTTCTCGAACAGGCGTGTCTATATTGCAGATGTTTCTGTTGTCTGTGTCACGGGTCAATTGATTCCATTCTCTGCGGTTGATGCAGTGAGTTCGTCAATTGCGTTCGTAGCATCCGGATCTTGTCACCGTCGGAAGTGATGCACATGAGCCAGGAAGGATTGGAGCTCCTGAATATCGTTCCGCCAACTGCTCCCCGGCCAACGAGCAGTGGTTCTGAGGATGGTGCCACCATGCCTGCCGGATTCGAGAAATCCTGTGGGAATGATGCCCAGCGGGGGTGCCCCTGATTACTCCCCGAGGGCATGCCTTGGTTAGCATTCTGGAGTCGGTAGGTGACGCATTATGTCTATTCTGAGAATTTCTCCCACTATCAAGACTCTAGCTCGAGTAAGGATGGAAAGACTGTGTACCGGCACTGAGGCTCTTCTGAGAGGTTGACTCTGTATAGTGGAACCATCCACACGCAGTCAATCCTATTTTGCTGCTTTGGACTTGGAACTAATGTGCAGCTGTGCATGGGGAGAGAAGAGGAAGGGCAGACCGGCGGGGAAGACAGGGCAGTTGGGCGTTCGGAGGTGGTAACTGTTCCGTGCAGGGCGAACAGCTTAGCTAGCAGACTTCGATTTTATATCTCGGCCTGGTGAGCATCATCGCGGTGGGATCAGGACCCGCATCCGAAGAAGCCAGCGATTTTGTAAGGGGAAAGGCTGTCGTGTGTGGTGGGACAAACTCGTACGACTCGCAAAACTACTTCTGGCTTCCTCCAGAGTACGAAGGAATGCTATGATCCCATTTGAAGGCGAGGCCGATCCGGCAAGATCCCGGGGTTCGTCTGCACCCGGAATCTTGCAAGCTGTAGAGCTGCGCATGAACCATATCTTTTCACGTTTTTCACACCATGGAAGGTGTGTTTCATGCCGGTTCTCGAGCGGATCATCTTCCTGAAAGGGCCGCTACACTCCCGTTGTCTAGCGAGACAGGGATGGGAGCTTCCATGGGCCCACATTGCTCTAATGGACTGTATTAGTGAGCTCAATACATTCTTTGGCTAAAAGGTTACTCAATGTCCGGGCCTGTGTTTTGCAATGTAGATTGTATCGGTGTAGTGAGAGCTAATCCTTGCAACAAGGATTTACGCAAAAGAATGGTTTTGGTCGAAGCTTCGGAGGCTGCCATTTGTATTGCTATTGTCCATGATGATAAAACCATCTTGTAGATTATTTTGCATCTCGTTTTCACACTCCACACTCCGATGCCTGAGGTCATAGCTCTGTCCCGTCTTCAGAATCAGTCTGTCGATTCTTGCCAACACGAGTACGCATGGTTTGTGTCGGGCACCCTAAACCCTCGCCGTATGTCCAAGTGCGCATCGTGCTCCTTCTGTTCTTTACGGGCAATTCTGGGGGGAAGGACGCAAGGACAGGGCAATTAGAGCCACTGATCTCTGGATTAAAGAAAGGCAAGACCCCACCATAGCAACCACTCCGGATTAAACAGCAGCGACGCGAGGCCAACTGCCCCACTTTCAACTTTCCCTCGTTCGTGTAACTTTATAGAACTCAACGTTCCTGTGTATCCCAGGGCACATCTATGCGTACCTCAACGGCCAGGGATGGAATTGGATCGTACGCAGTTCTGACATCAAAACCAACCGACCGGGAGCAGGGAAGGCGAATGACGTCCACACTTGACTATAGACCAAAGTTACCCCCACGATAGTGAGCACCCGAGCTGACGGCCAAGGCCTTTCGTACGGGAGTCAGGGGGTGTAAGTCAAGATTGCATAACTGCTCCGGTCTTTAGACATATGGAAACAATCAGAGAAGATCTGCGCTGAGGTGGCATGCTATAGATAGCATATGCACCGTTGGAACTCCAAGGAAATAATTTTGGACTTTGTCATTATAATGATTTTTGCAATGTAAATGTAAAAATTGATTTAAAATGAATATTTATATGAAATAGTACATAATGACAATATATACATCAATAGATTTAAATTATAAAAATATTCAAATAAATTACACATGCTTTTGTTTATAATATATAAATTATGAAAACATTCAAACAAATTACATATACATTTTCTTGTAATATATAATATCAAATTTGAATTTATAATATGTAGTAATAAAGACATAAATATATATATATTTTTTGATAATCTTTTTAGTTTATTTTTGTCGATTGTAATCTACTACTATCACTTTTATGGAGAGGTGGATGTATGACTTTGCTAGGTATTGTGTATGAAATCCTGATGGTCGATTAAATGGTTGTGTCCGAAATCCTAATGGCTGATTAAATGGTCCAAAAGTACACCAACAAGTTACAGTTTTGATCCATTCAGTCTTGAGACATGATTTGTCATTGGTTCGCTTTTTTCAAAAATTTGTTTCAAAATCTATATTATTTCTACCTTCACGATCTACAAAATCATCTACACTCTCACTTGGAATACGAGCTGTCTTCACAAAAGAATTACCCATTTCCAAAGTCCATTGCAAATCATCTACATGGAATATGCCTGAAGTAGTCGATTGAACAAGGATCAAACTATCCATTGCGTAAATTTATCTTATAAATAATTGAATCAAATGAATTTTATATTTCATTGACAAGACAAAAAATCATCTAAAATTATAAAGAAACTTCACTTCAAACACATGACATAATTAGCAAGAGCATGTGAAACTAGAAGGAACTTGGAATTGTGCCATCATAACCTAAAACCATACCTTCAATATGTTTGAGTAAAGACTTGTAGCAAATAGTCATAGTACCTTCGCACTGATGTACCCACTTATGAACCACAAAAGCTCTTCCACAACACCTCGCCAATGTACACAATGCAAAACAGGTTAATATTCCAGACGAGTGCAATTAGACACAATGACCAGAAGCCAATATCTATACATGTATGTGTACGAAAAAGAAAGAAATGTATTTTGAACTGCAAGAAGGTCTTGCATGTGCAAAAAACAGTTAACGATTCAAACCCACAAAATTCAAATTATGAGCCTGAAGAGTTATCAATTACTCTATACCGCAAACAACCAAAAAAAAAAGAAATATATTTTTGTTTATCGTTTTTTATTTATTTCTAACCTGCCCTACAAGCCTCCATAATGCTTCCCTTCGGACAGCCTTATGTAATTGAAAAAAACATGGAAAAGCTTCAAAAAACATGGACTTTAATAGGTTCTCTATTAATAAATAGATACAACTACAAAACAGCCTGGAGAGCATAAAAAGAGAAAAACCAGCTGTAAACCTATTAGGGTCAAATCCATCCGGCGTTCAAATATAGAAATGTATAGATATATCTATAACAACGGAAGAGGCCCAAAGGGTAGATACTGTGAAGTTCATGAGGCCAAAGGGGACGAGGGCCTGCCGCAAGGCTAAACCATCAAGCCCGTTTGTTGCCTGATGATTTCGACTTGGATCCGATTTGACGTATAACATAAAAGGTTTGGAAGATTTTTACTCTCAAAAATAACCTCGCTTGCAATTTAATAAGAATCTCTTGATTATACATGATGAAGGACATCGGCTGTGTTCCTTTAGATCAAAGCATGTGATAGATTCGTCTAAATGCAGTGAACATCGATCGAAGCGCGTGATAGATTCGTGTGAATTCAATGATCAGTGAAGACAAAACTTCAATTATAGAGAGACCAAAAACAAGACACAAGTTTAAGATTTGTGAGTTAAACATCTTTAACCAGCCATGGTTTATTCAGAAGGATTTTGTAGTAGATGTTGTCAAATGTGTACAGGTTTCCAAATCTTTTGCCTCCAACACTATGAGCACCAAATGTGAACGCTACGAGCTCTTGTGTTCTACCAATTCAAGACAAGACATTTGTCATTGACTAAAACAAAAGGAAGTGGTAAAAAAGATAAAGAAAATATAAATGAAGAGTTTATAGATTGAAGAGTGCAATTAGACCTGATGGTCAGAAGCTGGATTCTATATATGTATGTGTAGGATAAAGTAAGAATTGTATTCAGAACTGCAAGAAGGTCTTGCATGAGCAAAAAACAGTTAACAAACTATTGAATGTAGATTAGAAATAACATGTTAATAAATTAAATTGTACGAGACTTAATTCATCGCACTAAGCACAGTGCTTATCATTTGTATTTTAATGAGAAGAGGTGCCTTGAGTAACTCGTGGTTGCATTGACATGGGTTAAACATTCCAGTTCCAGACATGAGTTAGCCAAGGGCACTTCACCTAGCAATCAAACTAGTACCAGTGCCGAACTAACCTCTGATTTTTTTGTCCCTGCAAGTTTTTCCTGAAAATAGATTTTGACCCCTCTGTATTTCAAATATAAACTCAATATATTGAAAACTGCCAAAATTGATTCGAAACAAATGCAATTTTCATACAATTTAACAAGACAAAATTTACATCCAGATGTGGTGATTGAAAATCATACTTCATAAGATTCTAATAATGAAATATTTAATCATAAAGAAGTCCCAAAATTTTAGAACAGATATGGTACTCCTAGGAAAAACTACGAATCATTTACCATTTAAAAATCAATTTATCAAAGAAAGGAAAATGATTTGTAAAATATGTATACAGTCGTCAAAGCCGGCTCAGTTGCAGTCCCGCAGTAACCAAAGTATTGCTCATTGGTTTCCCCTGCGATTGCGTTGGGATCCATGTACAGAGGTACATTGGCTGCAGTACGGCCACCTCGGTTACTCCGCTGCCTGAACATTCAGAATTGGGGCTAAACTGGAATAGGAAAGTCAAAATTGATGAGTACATTTGGCTCTCTGGTGATTTCGAGCGGGGGAGGAAGAGGAGGGCGATACTGTGTCCGCATTCTCAGGTGAAGATGTAGTTTACAGGAAAAGATTCGAACACAGCGGCAGTGAAAGGCAAAGATCAAAATTTATTCGTTCCAAAAATTCAGGCAAGGTCTACATACCCGAGTCGATTGCGAACAGAGCTACACAATTGGTTGACGATTGATGCTGATTGCATGAGGTTTCAAACGACAAAAGAACTAAATCTGGCAACTCCTCTTCTAAGTTTCGTTCGGATCCACACCACAAAATTTTTCAAATTTCACAAACAGAGTACCAAACAAAAAACACACTACCACAGCCTCTCGAGGATCCAAGACATGTAGAGCACGATAGGGCAACCACGATGGCTGATAGTACACGCAGCTTCGCGCACCACCAAAATTGTCCAAATGAAGTAATAGAGTGCCAGAATGTCATGGAACTGCAAATCCAAGCAACCACGGCCACGAAGCATGCTGAAGGGTATGGATTGTCCGAGTTCAGCTTGTTTCTTTTTGTAGTCTGGACTTTAGTGGAAAGAGTACATATCCGAGTCTATTTTGAACAGAGCCAGATTCTCAATTAGTTGCTCGTCATGACCCGACTACGCAAGCTTCCATGGAGCTTTTCATGAATTACACTGGTTTCAGTAAGTTCTCCATTGGCGCAAATTGCTGTCCGCTGCATGAGAGTTCAAATTTTTTTTTGGTGATGATATTGTATTCTAATCTAGCTCTCAGGTGAAGACAAAAAGACATTGTCAATCCTAAATATCAATGCATGTTCATTGAAAGACAGTTCGTTTGTTTCTTACATTTGCTGGCTTTCAAATGCTTTTACGTGAATTTTGAATTTTGACTTTTTGTTTTCAATACACCAATTCAAGATCCCACTATAACTACCATCTCTACAATTGATTATTGATGATTATCTTCGATTAAGCCGACCCTTCTTACCGAATACAAGAATAACGATATATGCTCCTCTATGCTCCTGGGATAAGACGGGATGCAAACTTTACTAAACTCTCACACAATACACCGATGCAATTGAGTCTTGAGCGCCCTAAGCTCCGATTCCTCGCTTCTTAATTCTTGCTGCTTCCGAGCTAGCGCGATCCGCCATCGCCATCGACAAGAAATGCGTCATAAGAAAAGCGAGGCGGTCTCATCTTGGGCGGAAAGCGCAAAACCGGCTGACGATAACGGTGAAACCCACTGGGTGACGGTGACGGACGAACTGTGTGCGTATTGTGAGATTGGATGTTGCACGTGTGTTTTAAGTTGTAAAAGTAGCCAGGTGATTAATGATGATTAGCCAAGACATATCTAAGTCTAGCTAGTTATGACTAAACTAGTTAGTTATAACTAAGTTTATCTAGTCATGACTAATTTTAGCTATAATGTCTAT